CACAGCGTAGTGGCGGTGTAAGAATATCCACTATCTCATATCGTCCCGTATATGCAAGAGCGGCACCGGCTCCGTGGCGCAGTGGCTTCGCAATGAGTTGTTGCGCTGCGGGTTCAAATCCCGCACGGAACAAGTATTTGTATGGCCTACAAGTAATTGTTCCGGGTCTGGATGTTTGTCCTTGTACAATTTGTGTTTGTAAACTGCCTCCACGATACAGGAGAAAATCCTAGTGTGGGGGTAACGTTTTTTAAAATATTAATAATAATAATAATAAAGGCGTAGGGAAGTGACGACCCCATCGCCCGCTGACGTAACAGTTAAGTGACAAAACTGCTATGTCAGCGCAGTCAGTCAGTGCCTTGCCAAGAGGTGTGAGCGCCGTGCCTCGGCAGTATTGAGGGTGCAAAGGCCCGTTTGTGCTTACGGCCACACAATTAAACGGCGCCGGGTCTGGGCGTCTCCCGTTAATTGACGCCCAATTCAATGGATGATGGAAAATTATAGAACGCGCATAGGGCCGCTGCCTGGGGGTCGCCGGGGCGCGTCTGGAGCTGGCGCTGGACGTGACAGAATGCGAGCCGCCAGCCGAGCGCGAGGTGCTGCACGACCACCTAGCAGCCCCTCGCGTCCATCATCCCCACCAGACGGCTTGGTGTCGGCGGGGTCCTCTCGGACTCGGCAAGCGGCACCCGCCGCTGGTGGAGTACGCCGCATGCGTTGGACAAAACATATGAACATAAACGCATTGCGGGCGTACTATAGGGCGAAAGGGGAAGAAACTGGAGGGATAGCGTATCGGGCTCGGATGCATCGCTTTTTTGCTGAGCTTGAGCCGTCAGTTCCCGTCACGGAGCAAAACCTGGCAGACCGAGTTCGGTACATCATACGCTCGAAAATATTTGATGATGCCGAACTCGAACGACTACGACGTGAGGCTATTCCCTCATCGAATGAACCGGCTAGAGCTGGGGATGCGGCTCTTCAGGCCACAGACCAGCAGCCACATATAGAGGGCGCCATGGATCTCCCTGCTCTGGTTGATTCAGGCGATGATGGAATAGTCACCCAAAAACTAGAGCAGATGAGGAGTAAATTGGAGGAGGCGATTGTGGAAACGCGCAGTACGCCTCTCGAAAATCGACCGCGACTCCCGCGCATACCCCTAAGCAAGCGGAATCGGGCTGTCGTGAGGGCTCTCAACCCAATGCTGGTCACCTATTTGGAAGCCAGCCGGGACCTTTGCGAGACGGACTCAATTCTTTTTGGCGCCGCACTGGCAGTTTGTCGTATTGTTGGCGCCAAACTTCCCACGGCTGGACGCGCTACTAGACAAAGTAGCGCCATCCCAGCCTGGAGAAGAAGGATTGAGGACCGTATCGTAAAGGCAAGGGCCCTCATCGGCAGGCTGATAAGCTTCAGGTCGGGCAATAATAGGCCGCGAATTGTGCGCACCGTCAGAATGGCGTTTGCTGGGACAAATATCAGTTTGTCCCAGCCGGATATAACGCAAAAACTGACGGAGCGCATAGACGACCTGAAGCAGAGAATCGCTGCTTGGGGGAAGCGGATTCGGCGATATACCGAGAGGTCGACACGGTTCAACCAGAATCGTCTCTTCCAGAGTGATCAGAAGAGGCTATATAAAACATTGGAGCGACCAATGGTACGTGGAACGGGCCAAGCACCGAATCAGGCCGACACTGTCGCATTCTGGCGCGGCCTGTGGTCAGAGCCCGTAAACCACCGCGAGGGCCCTTGGACGGAAGCTGTGGTGAGTCAGTGTGCGAATCTTACGCCCATGGACCCCGTCATTATAACGCCGGACGATGTAGCTGAGGCGGTCCGAAGGGCCCCGAACTGGAAAAGTCCGGGGCTCGACGGGCTGCATCACTACTGGCTGAAGGGGTTCGTGGTGTGTCACGCTGTGCTCGCCCGACAATTTCAAGAGGCTCTCGACCAAAAGTCGCTCCCGAGCCTCTTCACTACTGGGATCACTCATTTGGTTCCTAAAGACCGGGATACCATAGACCCGAGCAAATACCGCCCCATCACGTGTCTACCCACGATATATAAGACACTAACATCCATTTTGAGCGCGAGAATCACTCGTCACCTGAACTCAAATCAGGTGATGTCGCGCGCTCAAAATGGATGTCGGGGCAGTGGTCGTGGAACCAAGGAACCACTCCTCATTGACGCGGTCATTGGCAAAGTGGTTAAACGCAACCGTCGGAACCTATCCGCCGCCTGGATAGACTACAAAAAGGCATTCGACTCGGTGCCTCATACATGGCTGGAGAGGGTCCTCGAGCTGTACAAGGTTGACTGTACAGTTAGAGACTTCCTTGGGCAGTGTATGGGGCAGTGGAGTACGATCCTTTGTCATCTAGGCGAGCGGATGACGGCTGCGGAGAACCACATAAGGATAAGAAGGGGTATCTTCCAGGGCGATTGTCTGAGTCCAATCTGGTTCTGCCTCTCTCTGAACCCTCTCAGTACCTTACTGGAGGGCTCCGGGAGGGGATTTCAGCTTCGGAGGGGAGGTACAAAAGTGACCCACCTTTTCTATATGGATGATCTCAAGTTATTCGCCTCCAGTCGGTCTCATCTTATGGAATTGCTAAACATCACTTGTGATTTTAGCAATTCTATTAGAATGGAGCTGGGGACGGATAAGTGTGCGGTCCTCCATGTTGAAAGGGGAAGGGTTGCTAACTCTGAGGGCATAGATTTATCTATGCCCATCAACATAAGGACCCTTTCCGAGGCTGAAACATACCGATACCTGGGTATGTCACAGAACATCGGTGTAGATGAGGCGGGTATGAAACAGTCAGTTTGCGATGTGTTTTATGCACGCTTGACCAAAGTGCTTAACAGCCTTTTGTCCGGTGTGAATAAGACGCACGCATATAACGGTTGGGTCATGCCTGTTCTCATGTATACCTTTGGCATACTTAGGTGGACTCAGACCGAACTAAACGCTCTGGACAGAAAAGTCCGCACTATAATGACGTCCCACAGGATGCATCATCCGAGATCGTCAGTAATGAGGCTGTACTTGCCGCGGAAGCATGGCGGGCGCGGCTTTTTAAGCGCGCTTACCATGCATAATCGCGAAGTGTGCAGCCTCCGTAATTACTTTCTGACGAGAGCGGATGATCCATACTATAGGGACGTTATTTCTTGTGATAAAGGACTGACCCCTCTATCCTTAGCCAACGAGCAATGGCAAGACCCAGCAGTACAGTGCATTTCCGACCGGGAGACCGTATGGAAGGAGAAGGAGCTCCACGGGAGGTTCTACAAGGCTCTACATGAGCCTTTCGTAGACACAGTCGCCTCCCTTCACTGGCTACGTTTCGGTGACCTCTTTGGGGAAACCGAGGGTTTTGTCTGTGCGATACAGGATCAGGTTATTAAGACCAACAATTATCGGAGATACATCCTAAAGGATGGCGCCGTCGACATCTGTCGAGCTTGTCGCCATCCCGGTGAGTCACTTAGGCATGTCATCTCCGGTTGTTCGGCGCTTTCTAACTCTGAGTATTTGCACAGACACAATCTAGTAGCCAGGATTCTACACCAGGAGCTCGCTCTGAAATACGGCCTCGTGGATCGGAAACTGCCGTATTATAAGTACTTGCCGGAAGCCGTGCTCGAAAATGACCGCGCCAGGCTCTACTGGGACCGGGCCATCATCACAGACAGGACTATTCTTGCGAATAAGCCTGATATTGTGCTGATGGACCGGGCACAGTCAAGGATCTTTTTGGTCGACATTACCATTCCTTATGACGAGAACCTCGTGAAAGCCGAAACAGATAAGGTGACAAAATATCTGGACCTGGCTCACGAGGTTACCGGCATGTGGGGTGGTCTGCCGACCGAAATTATTCCTGTGGTCGTTTCTGCGAATGGGTTAATCCCAGTCAGCCTCCCGGGTCATCTGAGGCGGCTGGGACTCCGTGACGGACCGCTCCAGGCTCAAATGCAGAAGGCGGTGCTCCTCGATACCGCCCGCATCGTCCGCCGGTTTCTTTCCCTTTCCCCCTAACCCTCGGCCGTCTGGTCTCCCCTGCCGAGGGCTTCCATCTGGTTGGGTTTTTATATATTTATGTATTTTTTATGTATTTATTTTATTTTATTCATATTTATGTATGTTTACCATTTTCATTTACAATTATATATTTATACTGCCCAACCAGATGAGAAAACTTTATAGATACCCCAAAAATAATAATAATACGGGACATAAGATGAAGCATGGCATCTATGGCAAATATCCCCCCCCCCCCCCCCCCCCCCAATGAGGCAATCCATGGGAGAGGCTTTTGTTCAGCAGTGGATTTTTGATGGGCTGTAACGGTAGAACAGGGTAAATATAGCGATCAGTAATCAAAGCTATGTGTCCAACCGTTGACAGCAAAAACACAATAAAATTGTGTTGAGGCCGACAAACGTATAATTAAATGTTGTAACCCTTAGGCCCGATTATTCAAAACATCAGATAAAACAAATAAACTATATCATTCATACAACTGTAATTTTCAATTTGTTTATGTTGTAATTTATCCTATGAATAAATATTCACTGAGCATTGAAAAATTGGCCCTTAGACATCTATCACCAAATCAAATGTCCAAACATCAATGTCAACGTAAGAACGAAACGTAACCGTTGACCACCAATCCACGCGCGATCTATAACCTGTCAAAACAAACTTTGGACGACACGATAATAAAAGTATTATCGAAAAGTATGAATTTATTAATAAAACTGAAGAATCTTATTACCTGTGGTGTTGAGGATTGTCTGTATAAAAATAATATTATATATAAGAGGAAGATAATTTTCTTCAAAGTCGTAACATATCGCCAGTTTATTCGACAATCTTCTATCTAGAGATGCCCTCTAACCGACTTTGCCACTCACTTCTGCTGCATAAATTTGCTTTACTTTTAATAAAAACATGGTAAAAAACAAGAACCTCTTACCATGTATGCGCCCTGGGATAGTTCTCCGGCGTTCCCCACTTCTCAATAGTGAACAACTGTGGACCGTTAGAGCCATATAGCTCCTTGAAGCCGTTCATTGGCACTCTAGACGTACCCGTCACAAATTGGAGTAGCCTCGAGCGCATTTCATTAGAGAACGAAAGGACTACCTGTGAAGGAATTATTTTATATTAAAAACTTGCGAACCACCCCGGCTTCGTCTGGGTTGCATTAATTAATTTGGTTTTAGGTTTAAAACATTATGTTTTTTTTTATTTATATAAAATACACTCATTTAAAATAATAATAAACATCGTCAAACTGTACATCAGTTTGTTGGCGATAGTGGCGCTCTTTTGTCAAACATTAATATGTATTTTATGTTACATACATATTTATCTTAGGTATATTTATTACAATAAATATCTCTATCTTTAATTAATACATATTATAGGTAGTACGTTCTACTTTTCATAGGAATGCATCTTTCAGTCTTTTCTTTAATGTTACAGTACTCATGTCTTTGGACGTATCTGTGGACGTATGTAATGTGGGGATTGGTGTCGATGAAGAGAGAGATGTTGTTTTGTCTAGAACTTTAATTACACTACTACTTTATTACAAACTTAACTCTAATATATACCTATTGTTGTGGGGGCTACACCGCACTACAATTATTATCAATGGCGATTTATTTTATAACTTTTTTACATGGTAGAGCCATGCTGCAGTTATATTACTGGCATAGTTGCAGCACGAATGGGTCGGCCCGACCGGAGAAGGACCACGCCCTCACAGAATACTAGCGTAAAATAGCAGCTTAACGCTACTGTGTTTCGTACGGTGAGTGTAGAGAACCGGAGACCCTTTTTTACTGGAAACGAGGCATTCCATCTTAGTCCTCACGGGTGACAACGCATCTGCATTTTGATTCGCAAACGAGGATAGATGTAGATGTCTATGAGCCACAATAACCACTTACCATCAGGTGGACTGCGTGCTCGTTTGTCACCCTTATTCTATAAAAAAGTGAAATTATTAAAAAAAAAACATTTTAACCACGTTTTTGAGCTATATTAAAATTTTCAAGTTTCCAGCTCGTCGGGAAGTTAGTTTAGAATCAATTATTAAATTTCACCCGGAACGACAGACAGACAAACCAAGAACGTGACCTAACCAACTTGGTAAAAAGACCCCTATGCTTAATAGAAGCCAGTTATTTGAATATTACAGACAGACGCATCAATTTTATTTACTTTTATATGTATATAGGTACGACATAACACTAACCCTCCAAAACCACTGTACCACCAGATGGTTCGCGTGGTAATCTCCCTTATATAAGGTGTTGGCCCTCCAATCTCTGACGTCTATATGCTGGATGCCGCAGAGCAACAGTTCGAGCTCGTTCTCGTCGAAGATCTTGAGAAGCGGCAACGGCACCAGGCCGTCGAAACCCTCCAGGAACGCGTACATCTGTTCCTGGACGCGGCTTACGAAGCGCCATTGGATAACTAATCTGTTGATAAACATGACGTAAACAAATAACTTAGATGCTAAAAAACTTCTAAAAGGTCTTCTCGACATAGTGCCACGTCATATTTACAGTAATCACTATCACTATAGCCCATCACAAGTCCAGTGCAGAACATAGGCCACCCCCAAGGAATGCCACAAAGCACGGTCCTGAGCCACCTGCATCCATCGACTTCCTGCATGTGTTACCAGGTCGTCACTCCATTTAGTAGGGGGACGCCCTACACTTCGCCTACCGGTACGAGGCTGCCACTGGAGAATCTTTCTTCCCCATCGGTTGTTAGTTCTTCGAGCTATATGGTCGCCCCACTGCCACTTCAGCTTACTAATCCGTCGGGCTGTCGATTACTCCGGTTCTACTGCGGATATCCTCGTTTTTAAGTCTATCACGCAAGGAAACCCCGAGCACAGCCCTCTCCATAGCTCGCTGAGCGACCTTGAGCTTCCTCATACGGCCAGCAGTGAAGTAGGTCATCGGTACTCCAGAATAAATATTGCGCATCGGCTAACTCCGTATTTCCGAATATGACTGACCGTATCGAGGCGCTATATCACATAGAACTGCTCTTACCAAATCATTATGGCGATATTATCAGTATTGCGAGATATCTATAAATACGATGGCTTTTATACAATTCTGTATGATACTACAATAACCGGCCAGAGTCGGACTCGCGCATGAAGGGTTCCGTACCATCGTAAAATACGTTTCTAGTAGGGAAGCCCCTTAAATTTTTTTTATATTTTTTTAATAATTTATTTGTTGTTATAGCGGCAACAGAAATACACATTCTGTGAAAATTTCAACTGTCTACCTATTACGGATTTGCCCGCTGACAGACGGACGGACGGACAGCGGAGGATTAGTAAAAAACATAGCAACACTAGACATTGGTTGTGACGGGCTCACACTTTTTATGAAAAAATGTAGTGATAGTTTGGAAAATTAATTAGTCACTAACTTTATGCAAAACTTAACTTTTATTTGTTACAAAAATTATTATCTATCTTTTGTTCGTTAAACTTATTTTTGTTACAACTACCATTAAAATAGGCAAATTATAAACACTGTTTTAGAAAGATGTGTTCTCCTATAATAGGTAGTAGTACATAGTAATTTGTAGATGTAAGGCATGTATTAGAAGTAATTTAATGTGTAAAACTGTTGGAGATCCATACAAATAAATAAATAGGGTTCCGTTGGTTACCCCTTGGGTACGGAACCCTAAAAACGTGGAGCACGTTCTCTCTTCATTCAAACCTAGACGCAAGTGACTGAGTCAGTCTGACTCATTTGCTGCACCATTAGCTAATTGACAAATTAGCCATTCTTAGAAACGATATTGACAATTGGACGTAGTTATACAAAAACGTTCCAACCCACAAGTCATTCAAAAATAAGTTAAATATACAGATCTACTTATTTTGACATCTTCGCATAGTTATACAAAAACGTTCCAACCCACAAGTCATTCAAAAATAAGTTAAATATACAGATCTACTTGTTTTGACATCTTCGCGAGAAGAGAAGCTAAAAAGTAAAGAAGAAGAACTTATTTTTGAATGACTTGTGGGTTGGAACGTTTTTGTATAACTATGTCCAATTATTATTCGTTTGTGATAAAGAACAAATTACTTCCATCAATCGTTTTGTAACGTACAATGTGATTGTTTCCTATGTTTACCGATGCGTAATACTTATTCTGAAGTACTGTAGTTAGCTATTTAATCATTTTGTGTGACAATTTTGAATTCAGAGAACAATAATTTAAATATATCGCATCGCCAGCTGTTAGCCCAGACCGGAGAGTAGCGTCAATGGTGTAAGATGCGATCTTGAGAAGAGACTGTGATCAACAGTCCACCTTTTAAATAAAACTAATTTTACGGATATTATCGCGTATATAACTTATTTTATATTCCCGACGTTTCGAGCACTTTCCAGCACCCATGGTCACGGGGGGGACTGAGGCTGAGGTGTATGACGTCCCAATGTCATAGTTAACCACGGCTACCTCCAGATTAAAAATTATGAATTTTTGTTCAATGAACAGTTAATATACACGATAAAATCCGTAAAATTTGTTTTATTTAAATGTGTAGTGTTCGCGTAAATATAAGAAACCATAACAGTCCACTTGTCAAGTGTGGCGATTGTTGCAACTATTCCCGAAAAACGGGGCCACCTCCAGCAGTGTACTAAACTGAGTAAATGTGTATATTATACATATGAGAAGAAAAAAGAACATAATTTATTTAAAGGTACAATTGGCGGCCTTATCGCTTGGGAGCGATCTCTACCAGGCAACCACATTGCAGAGGATAAAATGACCTGTGAGAAAGGGTAAGCGTGTACGTAGGTTGATAGAAAATACACACGACATATATAATATAATCCATAAATACATACATCTATAATATAAATAAATACATTTTAAATACAAAAATATATACATACATATACGAGAGCAGAAAAGATTAAACAAGTGAAGTAAAAGCCTAAACGTAAGGAAAAATGAGTAGGTAGTAATTTTTTAGAGGAATGACTATTTAAGGAGGAAAGAAGTGCGCTTTGACAAGTTTTTTAAACTTATCAATAGACTGCGCACTTCTAATGTGCAGCGGTAGGGAGTTCCAGAGCCTAACAGCTTCAACAGAAAAAGATTTAGAATAGAAGGAAGTGTTATGAGATGGAATTTTTAGGGTGAGGTTTTTATCGGAGCGAAGAGAGCGACAGTCAGTGTCACCAAAAAACTCAAACCGCTCTTTAAGGTTAGTAGGGGAAGTGGGATTGAATAGTATACAGTATAAAAGAGAAAGAATGCGAGTATTCCTACGAAGACGGATCGGAAGCCACTTGAGTTTTTCGCGATATTCGGAGACATGGTCATATTTTCGAAGTCCAAATATGAACCGTATGCATAGATTCTGAATGCGCTCAAGTTTATTAAGCATCTCCTCATTTAAATTGAGATAACACGTGTCAGCATAATCGAGAATCAGTAAAAGAAGTTTTATTTACATTACATTTACAGTGGTAGAGCCACGCGGCGGCTTTTGCTGTCGCACGGATGGGCCGGCTCGAACCGGGGTGGTACCACGACCTCACAGAATACCAGCGTGAAGTAGAGGTTTACCTCTGCGTTTCGCTTTGTGAGTGCAGGTGGCCGGAGGCCCTTTTTACTGGAAATGAGGCATTCCATCTTAGTCCTCACGGGTGACAACGCATCTGCATTTTGATTCGCAAACGGGGATAGATGTAGATGTCTATGGGCCGCAGCAACCACTTACCATCAGGTGGACTGTGTGCTCGTTTGTCACCCTTATCTTATAAAAAAAAAAAAAAAAAAAAAAAAAAAAGTGATTGTACAAGCGCAATTTTGGTAGGTATGGGTAAAAAATTACTTAATCGACGGAGAGATCCGACCGATGCAAACATCCTCCTACTTACCTCGCTTATCTGCGGAGCCCAAGATAAAAATTTGTCAAAAGTAACACTTAGATTTTTAACGGTGTCACTATATGGCACAGGTGTCCCATCAAAAATAATACCAGGTAGGGAAGAAAAATCTATAAGATTAACCAATTTTTGACTGCCTATAATTATTGATTAGCGTAGAAGAAAACTTCTTTTAGATCGCACAGTGGTGGACCGCCAGTCATCCAGATGGTATGGATGGTATCGCGAGTTTTGTCTATGACAAATATCCCCCCCTATGAGGCAGTCTATGGGAGAGGCCTATGTTCAGCAGTGGACTTTGTTTAGTAGGCTGTAACGGTAACGGTGTGACTTAGAGAGTAATACACCATCGTGCTTAGTCATAAGTCTCAGATTGTTTTAACATTTAGCCAACCATAACCGCACCCCCACCCCGCACCCCACAACACCCCCCCACCCCACCACACAACACCCCCCCACCCCACCACACCCCCCATTCACTCACTTAATGTATTCGAATTTGTTGTCATTGTCGACGGAGATATTGGCGCCACCCGGCTTTAATTCGCGCTGCACCATCTTTCCCAACTGCTCCTCGTCTACCGAGAACGTCAGGTACAATTCCGACGGGTCGTTCTCCTGTGAACGGAATTATTATGTGATTGAATGTGAATGTAATTTAAATATTCAGCACACAAGCCATTCGTCCTAGGGAATGACACCTGCATCATAAAAAGCGGAAAGTCGAGTGTCTTCACTCTATTTAGTGGGGCCGTCCTGATTACTACCTTCTATATATCTCTAGATATAATATGACTATAGTAACACACATGAGCCTTATGAAGTTATCTGGATTTGTGTCTTTAATTCATTTCACGCATATTACTATTAATTTGGAACTTTCGACCATAATGTATTATGAGTATTCTTAGTCATATCTAGGAAATGGGTCACGTATTAAAGTACGTGACTGATATTGGTAAAAGTGTTTAAAACATTTACATTTTATACGTGGTAGAGCCATGCTGCAGCTATATTAGTAGTATTAGTTGTAGCACGAATGGGTCGGCACGACCGGCGAAGGACCACGCTCTCACAGAATACCAGCGTAAAATAACAGCTTAACACTGCTGTGTTTCGTATGGTGAGTGTAGAGAACCGGAGATACTTTTTACTGGAAAAGAGGCATTCCATCTTAGTCCTCACGGATGACGACGCATCTGCATTTTGATTTTTTATTGAGGATAAAAATGTAGATGTCTATGGGTCACAGCAACCACTTACCATCAGCTGGACTGTGTGCTCGATGGTCACCCTATCCTATATAAAAAAAAAAACATTTTAAATCTAAAAGTTATCTATGATATGGATCTCTCATAAAGTTAAGAGTATTCGCCGTTAGACAAGGTAGCTTGGCGATTGCCGTAATGATTAATTAATGGATTAAATGTAATTTTTTTTTATTTTAAGTGAGCTAACCGTGCACTTGGTAAAGTGGTAATGAGCAGGCCATATAGCTCGAATTATCGGCAACCGATGGGGAAGAAAGGTTCTCGAGTGGCGGCCTCGTACCGGCAGGCAAAGTGTAGGGCGTCCCTCCACTAGATGTAGTGATGACCTGGTAAGACATGCAGGAAGTCGATGGATGCAGGTGGCTCAGGACCGTGCTTTGTGGCATTCAGCAGTGGACTTGTGAAGGGCTGTAATGATTTATGATGACGATGATCTATATACACTATGTATCGCTCCTCCTTTAATTAATATCTGGTTTAAACTACTCTGTTTCATAGGCAAAAGTCTTGGATCATACAGCCTTACGGCCAAAGACAAAACGGATCATCTTCGCGAGCTCACTTACAGCGTCGATATCCAACAAATAGTATGATCTCAAGGCGTCCTTACAATGGGAGAGGTCGGAGCAACGAACGGGTACAGACTAAAACAGAAGACTTACTTTGATCCACATTAGCGAGTTGTAGTACTCCAGGTCCACTGACTCCATGTCCTGTAACGCGATCGACTTCCCCAGCATCATTTTGTAAAATGGACGGATAAAAAATGCTGCGGACAAATTATACAATTCATGTAATATTCAAATTATACTTTTAATTATAAGAATATTATAATAATAAAAAAATGTACGTGGTAGAGCCACGTTTTTTTTCGCGCTTTATAGCTGCAGCACGAATGAGTTGGCAATGAATGGGCCCAGCAGTGGGATTTAGAAAAGCCATTACTTTATCTACCGACTTCAAACAGGAGGAAATACTCAATTCGACTCTATGTTTTTGTGTGTTACCTCATTTTTTTCTGGGTGAGCCGATTACGGTGATTCTTTTTATTTGAAAGCTAGTGCTTCACATGTGGTCCCATATAAATTTGATCAAAATCCAAACAATAGTTTATGAGTTATTCTTAATCATTTATATTGAGGTCGGTTGTACAAATTTTTTAATTTTAAATTATATTTATTTCAGTGATATGGATTACCACTAGTTTTACAACCTATCAAAAGTCCAATGCTGGACACAGGCCTGCCCCATAGATTGCCTCATAGGGGATATTTACCATAGTTGCCACGCTTAGCTAGTGGGTTGTATTCTTTTAGTTATTATTAGGAAGACGCTGGTGCCCATCTTCTGGTTTATGTCCCTCTGTCGCCTCTTACGACACCCACGGGATATATCATCCCGTACGGTAGGGGATATTCTTAGTAAAAGTGTTCTGTCAGAGCGTGGCACTTCCCCGGTCGAGCCGACCTATTCATGCTACAACTATAATATACCTGCAGCATGGCTCCACCACGTATTAAAGAGGTTTAATTTTAAGATGTGACCACACATCTGCATTTAAGTTTTTAATCCAGAATGTAAATGTCTATGGGTCGCAGTAACCGCTAGCCATCAGGTGGACTACTGTGTGCTTGCGTGTTATCCTTATTCCATTAAAAATGATTAAGCTCCACATTAATGACCACCATCCGTTATTACTTGATTTCTTTAGCAATATTTACTAAATTTATATGATAATCATTTGTAGATATGTGAATGATTTCGACAACAATTATGTTCATTTGATTTAAAACAACTGTTTATTTGATCCGTGTAGTGGCGGTCAAGAATACCACTACCCCATATCCTCCCGTGGGTGTCGTAAAAGGCGACAAAGGGAAACAGGCAGGAGATGGGCAGCAGCATCTTCCTGATAATAGCCAAAATTACAATAAAAAAACTGCGGTTGCCAACCCGCTCGCCAAGCGTGGCAACTATGGCAAATACCCCCCAATGACTAAAGCAACAAACAGACGGCCCCCAGTCCCCGGCGGCCCCGCTATTCCTGGCTACGGTGGCGACCATGGTAACGGCGGGGCAGGGGGTGCTAAGAATCTCCGGTGGAGGTTCGGTTGCCACCTTAGACGACTCGACCTGGCAACGTACAACGCACGCACCCTGAGGACTGACGAGAAGATCGTGGAGCTGGAAGAAGAGATAGACAAGTTGCGCTGGCATATTATAGGATTATCCGAAGTCCGAAAGAGGGGGAGGACACGGTAATCCTCGAATCCGGCAACTTGCTCTATCACCGGGAGGGCGACCATCTGTTCCAAGGAGGTGTCGGATTTATCGTCCACAAGTCTCTCGTTAACAACGTTGTAAAGATCGGGAGTGTGTCGACGAGGGTTGCGTACGTTATACTCAGAATCACCAAACGGTATTCGCTGAAGGTCATACACGTTTACGCACCAATCTCGGCACACCCCGATGGGGAGGTGGAGGAAATGTATGAGGATATCTCTAGAGCCATGCATTCCTCCAAAACCCAATATACGGTGTTAATGGGAGACTTCAATGCAAAACTAGGCACAAGAGAGAACGGTGAGCTGAAAGTAGGGAAATTTGGAATAGGGCAACGGAACCCAAGGGGCCAGCAGCTGGCCGACTTCATGGAGAAAGAGGGACTCTTTATGATGAACTCTTTCTTCCAGAAGCGGCCCCACAGGAAGTGGACCTGGTCGAGCCCCGACGGTTCGACAAAAAATGAGATTGACTTCATTATGACGACCAGACGACAACTGTTCAGTGATGTCTCCGTGATAGCGAGGGTGAAAACTGATAGCGATCACCGAATGGTTAGAGGCACACTGAACCTAAACGTTAAGTTGGAGAAGTCTCGTCTAATGAAGTCAACGCTCCGTCCCCCTCGTGCTCTGTTCCAAAGTCCCGAAACCTTTCAGCTCGAGTTACAAAACCGTTTTCAGTGCCTAGAAGACTGCAATGAAGTAGACGATATGAATGACAAGCTCGTGGAAACTGTCCATGCGGTCGGAGCTAAGTTCTGCAAGACCCGCCGCAGAAGAACACAAAAACTCTCCGATCACACTCTTAATCTCATGGCTGTTAGACGGGAGATGAAGCTACATTCTTCAACAGACTTGACAGCATACAGTCATCTGAACAGACAGATCTCCAAATGCATGCGGCGGGACTTACGCAACTTCAATACAGCTCGTATTGAAGAAGCGATCGAGCGGAACCAAGGCTCCAAAGTCTTTGCCAGAGATCTGTCTGCCAGAAAGAGCCACCTGTCAAAGCTGAAGACAGAATGTGGCAGCATCGTTTCCGGGACACCTGAGATTTTGAGTGAGATTGAGAGGTTCTATGGGCAGCTGTACACGTCATCGTTGGAGCCACACGCAAGTGTGAGTAACGATCCAAGAGCGAGTCTCATCCGACACTATTCCGAAGATATCCCGGACGTCAGTCTGAGCGAGATTAGAATGGCTCTCCAGCACCTTAAAAACGGTAAGGCCCCAGGCGAGGATGGAATTACAGCGGAGCTTCTGAAAGCGGGTGGAAGACCGGTACTTGAAGTCCTTCAGAAGCTCTTTAATTCCGTCCTCCATGGTGGCATTACACCGGAGGCGTGGAGCAGAAGTGCGGTGGTCTTGTTCTTCAAGAAAGGTGACAACGCTCTCTTGAAGAACTACAGACCGATTTCCCTTCTGAGCCGTGTCTACGTGCTGTTTTCGAGAGTCATTACGAATCGTCTCGCGCGCAGTCTTGACGACTTCCAGGCTCCCGAACAAGCCGGTTTCCGAAAGGGCTTTAGCACCATAGACCACATACATACCCTTCGGCAAATTGTACAGAAGTCCGAAGAGTACAATTTGCCACTATGTCTGGCGTATGTGGACTATGAGAAAGCCTTTGATTCCGTCGAAATTTGGGCGGTGCTGCAGTCCCTTCAGCGGTGCCAAGTTGACTGTCGGTATATCGAAGTTTTGAAGTGCTTGTACAGTAGGGCTACGATGGCTATCCGAGTACAGAACCAGAGTACGAAACCTATCCAATTGCACAGAGGTGTAAGACAGGGTGACGTCATATCCCCGAAACTCTTTACCGCTGCATTAGAAGACGTTTTCAAGCTTCTGGACTGGAAAGGATACGGTATCAACATCAATGGCGAGTACATCACTCACCTTCGATTTGCCGACGATATAGTCCTTATGGCAGAATCGCTGGAGGACCTAAGCACTATGCTCAATGACCTCGATAGTGTTTCCCAACGGATAGGTCTTAAGATGAACATGGACAAAACAAAGATCATGTTCAATGTCCATTTCACACCTATGCCGGTAGTTGTTGGGAGCACTAAGCTCGAAGTTGTTGACGAGTATGTTTACCTGGGACAAATAGTCCGACTAGGTAAGTCCAACTTCGACCGAGAGGTCAATCGACGGATTCAACTCGGCTGGGCAGCGTTCGGGAAGCTACGACACATCTTCTCGTCAGACATACCTCAAAACCTGAAAACGAAATTGTACAACCAGTGCGTGTTGCCAGTGATGACTTATGGAACTAAGAAGTGGTCCTTCACTGCTGGTCGTATGAGGAAGCTCAAGGTCGCTCAGCGAGCTATGGAGAGGGCTATGCTCGGAGTTTCTCTGCGTGATAAACTTAGGAATGAGGATATCCGCAGTAGAACCAGAGTAACCGACATAACCCAACGGATTAGTAAGCTGAAGTGGCAGTGGGCCGGCCATATAGCTCGAAGAACCGACAACCGATGGGGAAGAAAGGTTCTCGAGTGGCAGCCTCGTACCGGTAGGCGAAGTGTAGGGCGTCCCCCCACGAGATGGAGTGACGACCTGGTAAGACATGCAGGAAGTCGATGGATGCAGGTGGCTCAGGACCGTGCTTTGTGGCATTCTTTGGGGGAGGCCTATGTTCAGCAGTGGACTTGTGAAGGGCTGTAATGATGATGATGATGATGATTTAAAACTAGATAGGCCGACAGATGTTATTAAGGAAATATTTCAATTTCTTTTTTCAACTCATAACAGAGTTCTACGGTCCTCGTCTAATCATAAAATTAGTGTTCCAATGCATTGCACTGGATTCTCCAGGAAATCCTTCACTGTTCAGGTTACTCAACTTTCCTTACCCCGAAGATATACGAAAAGCTCCAAGTAAATGCTCGTTGAAGAGGTTAACTCGTGACACCTTACCAAACAAAATATCGTTACATGATATTATGAATGATTTTATGTTATATTATATGCATATATGCACAATATAGTATCTATGTATATATGTGTTTATATAATAGGTATATATATTTATTTTAAGTATATTCTTTGTATGTTAATGCAGGATTCTTTATTTATATATATATATATGCTGATACGGCTCGAACCGCCGCGCCGCGAATTATTTATAATGCACCGTTTATCATATCAAACTAGTGTGTGTAATAAACTTTTAAAGTAACAATACGTGTGCTTACTTTATACACTAGTCAAACTGACATACTATCGTCACAAATTAACTGTAAACTTCATGACTCTATTAACTAAATCAATTATCAAAGACGACGATAAGTACTTCAAAGAAAACATTTATGAGCGTACGAAAACTATGTACGACTCTGCTAAGCACAACATGTCAACTTTACGGCCCAAACTACCGATGAAGCCTAGTACGTCTGAAGAACAGCCAAATCCCATGACAAATAAGCCTGAGGATCTCAAACTACTAAGCTCAGAACATCAAAAACTATTGCGGCAACAAATGTTTAACGTTAACGCGTTTAAGCGAGTAATAAACAAGATTAAGCTAGACAACATGACTGAAAAATGGGTAACCTGAACGCACTGAAAGGCGAAGCAGAAAAATCAATCCAGCACCTCACCATCAGCGCTGACAACTACAACCGTGGAACATCATAGAACTTCGCTAGGAAAATAAGTGATTACTGTTTCTGTTCTCCTCTTACATTAACGCACTCCTCAAGGTACCGTCCATTCAACTACCATAGGCACATAACATTAAAAAGCTGCATGATACTCTATTAGAGTGCTTCGTTGGATTACATAACTTGGGTGTGATTACAGAAACTTGCGACTCACTTATCGTTCATTTATTACTGCCCAAACTAGACGCCGCTACGTAAGCAGGCTAGATACATGACTTAGAGAGCCCGAGATAACTACCTAACCTCCAGGAGTTTCTTAACTTTTAGTTTATGGCATTCGAAGCTGTAAAACAAACACAAAATTCTCAAACATTTAATATACCTCAAGCGCAATGTAAGTCGACACGATTCAATCAACCGCATAATTTTAATAACGAACAGAAGTCAACGACCTTTAAGAAGCCTGGATAGTGGACAAAGTCATAATATACGATCGCCAAAAACTGGCCACTGTGCAACAAAAATAACGTTTTGATGACCTGCAATTGTTTTTGAAATCAAATATCAAAAATAGAAATGAAACTGAATATATTTTATGCGATCAATAAGTATACACGTGCCACAATAGCTCACCACGCTACGGGTTGACAGAGAATGCCGACAGGCATTAAGTCCACCTATTGTTACCTTAGTCGTAAGGTGTGACAATAAATAATAAATAAATAAATGTTATTCTGCCATTTCCACATAACATTATTCTGCCCAGGGCCACTTATCGGGTCCAGATTTTGGTAATTTTCTTTTTTTAGACTACACTATCATATAATATGAACCATATTGATCCGTAAATACAGATTGGCGCCATCTATCGGATCTTTTGTTAATATAACTTCGATCCTTCAAGTCGTTTGGAAGTCACATCTAATCTGATCACTAACAGGCGCACCAACGATTATAATTATGATATACTTATTATTTAACACGTGTTTCATCTGAATTGTTCTACACTCACCATCGAGCAGTTTCCCGTGGTACACAGCCATGCCAGCCACGCGGCCTATGAACTTGAAGTAGTTGAGGTGTTCTTCGTTGCAGACACCACTGTTCGGGTTGATCTGCAGCGTGTAGTTGTCCATCGCGGAGTACTCGAATAGACCATAGTAAGGATTAAACATCTCTTTGGACAGCAGGAAGAACCACTCCCGGGCCAGGCCGCCATAATCTTAAACAAAAATTAAAAAGATCGGTCAGTTTCAAGCATTGAAAAACAAGAGAACACTTATTTGTTCATTAGTCGTCACGACTTTATAAAAAACCACAACTTTGGATACAAACATAATTTAAAAAAAAGATAAATAATAATAAAGATAAAAAGAAAAGAGAAAAAATCTAATAATAAAACTGTAACTAAAACTAACTAAATAACTACGGTCAACCAGAACATGGACCGGCCGCAAGTTTTTGCATACAGGGGCTTAACTCGTTTTAATCAACCAGTGTCCGAACAATGCAGTGCGATTGTGCAACTCCTTTGGGAATCGTTTGCCGCAACTGTGTAAAATTTTCCATTATGATAAGATTTTTACTTATTTTTAATTCCCGACGTTTCGGGTGCTTTAAATTGAACGCAAATTTGTCCACACCGTACGCGCCGAATTTGAGAATTCGTTGTATGAACAACACTGCTAATCCAAAATTGGATAGTGTTGTGCAGAAACTGACAAAAATAATGATCTGGAGTATTTTTTCAATTTATTTCTAAGTATAAAATAATTCTGAAAGTAAAAAGTAATCATCAAAGTCTACATTAAATTTTCTTTTAGATGATTTACATAATTTGACATAATAGGGCTTCTGCCACAAGATTATATCCAGGTAAAATAACTTTATGTTTTTGTGGACTGAAAACATTTCCACACAACACGGTCCGATTGAGATTACCCATCTACATTTTACCCATAAACATTAAGTTAATATAAATATTTGGAGCCATTAAAAAGGTAAGTAAAGTAAAGGAAGAAACATATTTAGTTGACAAACACACAACATTGAAAAACAAAGAAAATCGTACATATTAAAAAAATTAACAGTTGCGTAGTGATCCCGCCATTTTGATAATTTGTGGGATTGTCTGTGTCAGAAAGCAGTATCGTATCTACACGGAGATGCCATTTTAACTTACATCAGGCACGGTTACATAGTGCAAGTGAGTGCCGGTGTTTGCATTTGCGGTACTATATTTTTCCTTTTTTTGCAGGCGAAGAGTAATAGTAACGTTCATAATCACTCCAAGTATCCTATATCCCATCAAACACCGCATATAAGCTGAAAATGTTTGTATTAGTAGTAATAATCGACGGTAGTCGAATAGTGAATTCGAACCCACGGGTTTCAGAGTTTACAATCTGCACTAGGGATGTGAAAAAATAATCGATTTTCATATTAATCGATTATTTTTTTCTTATAATCGATTTTTCGAAGTCGATTTTTTTTATAATAAAAATCGATTTTTAATAAATCGATTTTTATGTAAATTACGCGTTTCAATCGATTTTTGGAATCAGAGTCATCTATGCGATGGATGTAAAAACGTGAAGTAAGTTCAATAATATGAATAAGTCAATCAAAAGACGGCGCCACCTTTATGTATCTCTATGTATGTAAAACAGTTTCGCTTTTCTTATGTTTTCAACAGGTTTCTTCCTCCGCTAGGAGTAAAAGTATTCTGTGGTTTTCTTTCTTTCTTTGGTTAGTGTAAACAATTATATATAAAAAATAAAAATGTCTTGTGAAACGCGTAAAAGTGACTGACAGAAGTATTTTATAATGAAAAAATGATAGCGGCCAACACGTCAATAGGCAAAAATACTAAATTGGATCTATATATTGCGGCACCACTATGAAATCTCAAGGCAGATGCCCTCAATATATGGAGAAGCTCTGAAGGAACTTTCCCTAAACTAACCGAATTGGCTTTTAAACACCTCTCAGTGATGGCCAGTTCCGCGCCAGCCGAAAGATTATTTTTGAAAGCGGGAAATATTGCCAGGAAAAAACGAAACCGTATTTTGGGAAAGAGACGAAGAATAATTTTGGTGAAATGATTGTTTTTAAAGTCTTTAACTGAAAATTCATGGCAATATTTTTTTTACTTCTTTTGTTTACACAAGTTTAAAAAAAGATTTGTCTTGTATTTTAGTTTTGAGATCAAAAGGTTGTCGTCGGATTATTTATAATTAGATTTTTATTTTATTTTCATTCTAATCCAATGTAAATGAAGTTATTGGAACATTAGTGGCATAATGATATTTAGACTTTTTGTTTGTTCAAACTTAGTTTAAAAAAAATATCGTTTACTAAAATTATGGTTTCTTAATGATTTCTTATATTTACGCGAAGACTACACATTAAATGAAATTAATTTTTACGGATTTGATCACGCTTAGTTCAACTTTTTAATTCCTGACGTTTCGGGTGCTTCACAGCACCCATGGTAAACGTGATAAAATCCGTAAAACTTAGTTTAATTTATCGTTTCTGCTTATTTTGGTTGTAATAAATTGTTAAATGGCACTGAACATTTGTGGCAGTAATTATTTTTAGTTTTTTATTGTTCAATGTTATATGTTAAAAAAATTGTTCTGTAGTTTATTTCTAAACCCAGAAGATTATTTTTCGAATAAAATTTTTTTTCGCAAAAATCGATTATTTTTTATAAAAAAATCGATTTTTATTAAATCGATTATTATCACAAAGCAAATAATCGATTTTTTCCACTCAATGTCACATCCGTAATCTGCACCCTAACCTTAAGCTACTGTCGCTTAAGTTCCTGCGCTTCGACGCAGTAACATTCGAATATGCAAACCGTTGCCATAATTTCGTTCTGTTACATATAATGATAAAATTATTATGATAACTAAATGGTTCCTACTTACCAAGACCCACTTCCGACTCGAACTCGACCCACAGCTTGGTCTTGAGCAGATCCAGGCGGCTGACGGAGCTGATGGTGCGGTACGAGTCCTCCAGGATGTAGTTCCGTCGGACTTTGATCTCGAACTTGTTCGGCACGTTGCTCTACAAGAAATTTATTTGTCGTTTTAAATTTGAGAAAAAACTTTGCGAATCTATAGTTTTTAAAGTGATGGTAAATGGCCGGTGTATCCCATGGACGGTTGCAACCAACTTAAAACAAAGAAGACCTAAGCCTGAATATATTATTCTCCCCAAGAACTAAGATGAAATACTTGTAATCATACTAACTTTCTTACCCAAACTGGAACGCAGAAGTATATGCAGTTTCGTTTGGCAGAAATAGGCAATAGGGTGGTACCAAGTCAAACGGATTCCTGGCAGAAAACAAACCCTACCCTGGGACTCGTACAATAAAAGTTATCTTAATATAACCAAGTTTAACGATTTAATGAAGCCTCGGCCGTTTCACATCAAAAAAGACGCACATACCTAAATGTATGAATATAGAAAAAAAATGTAAATTAACAACACGGGTCGTGCCAAAATCGACGCTATATTTATGTTAAAGGAAATTTGTTATAAACGTTTATGTAAATAGAAACTTGTTATTATTATTTTCTATAAAATATAGAACTACTAGCTTTTTCCCGCAGCTTCGTCCGCGTTGATATTACACTTTAAATCATAGGTAATCCATCAATAATCGCACTGTCATGGTTAATTCCATCACCCTCTTTAGGGAAGATTTCCGCGATCAAAGCTATCCTATTTCCTCCCCTGGGACTTAAACTATCTCGATACCAAATTTCAACTAAATCGGTTCAGCAGTTTAAGCAGTTTATGGTATTACTAGCTGTCCCCCGCGACTTCGCCCGCGTGGAATTTACTACGATTTCATGGGTTTTAATTTTCTTGTGCGGAAACCTAATTATTTTTCTAAAATAAAAGTATCCTAAGTTACTCCTTAGAACATCAGCATCTACCAGTGAAAGTCACGTCACAATCAATCCAGCCGTTGTGAAGACAGACAAAAATTTTAATAATTGTTTTTTTTTTGTTATTAGTGTCGTATACGTAGGTCACGCAATCATCGGTATGGGTCTACTCAGAAGGACACTTACCGACAAAACTGCAAAGACCTCGCAACGTCGGCAAAAAAATGGTGGCTAGTTTTTTTTCGCGGAGCGGACATTTGTCGACATCAATGCCGGAAAATTCTAGGTCAGTCAACTCTGAATAGTATACTACAGTTGCATTACCCAAAGCTTTTCAAGCTGTGCGGGAGAGAAGACCCAAAAACGGGCTTCGGGGAATCATGCTGCTTCACGATAACGCCTCTTCATACCTCCCTTAGAATAAAAGCATTTATTGAGGAATCTGGTGTTGAAACTCTAAGTTACCCACCCTACAGCCCTGACTTAGCTCCTTGTGATTTTTTTTGTTCCCAAGAGTCAAAGAAAAAATAAAAGGCAAGTTTTTTCAAGCGCCGTAGAAGCCGTGGCTGCCTACGAAGAAGCAATTTCCGACCTATCAGATCAAGACTGGTAAGTGTTTTCAGAATTGGTGTAGGCGAATGAATACACCAATTCTGAAAACACTGTGCAAGTGTTTCTGAAAATGAACTATGTATAGAGCATGATTAAATGCGTGTGTGTGTGCGTGTGTGTGTGCGTATGCGTGTGTGTGCGTGTGGGAGTGTGCGTGTGTGTGTGCGTGTGTGCGTGTGTGTGTGCGTGTGTGCGTGTGTGTGTGCGTATGCGTGTGTGTGCGTGTGGGAGTGTGCGTGTGTGTGTGTGCGTGTGCGTGTGTGTGTGCGTATGCGTGTGTGTGCGTGTGGGAGTGTGCGTGTGTGTGTGCGTGTGTGTGTGCGTATGCGTGTGTGTGCGTGTGGGAGTGTGCGTATGCGTGTGTGTGCGTGTGGGAGTGTGCGTGTGTGTGTGTGCGTGTGTGCGTGTGTGTGTGCGTATGCGTGTGTGTGCGTGTGGGAGTGTGCGTGTGTGTGTGCGTGTGTGCGTGTGTGAGTGTGCGTATGCGTGTGTGTGCGTGTGGGAGTGTGCGTGTGTGAGTGTGCGTATGCGTGTGTGTGCGTGTGGGAGTGTGCGTGTGTGTGTGCGTGTGTGCGTGTGTGAGTGTGCGTGTGCGTGTGTGTGCGTGTGGGAGTGTGCGTGTGTGTGTGCGTGTGTGCGTGTGTGCGTGTGTGAGTGTGCGTATGCGTGTGTGTCCGTGTGGGAGTGTGCGTGTGTGTGTGTGCGTGTGTGCGTGTGTGAGTGTGCGTGTGCGTGTGTGTGAGTGTGTGTGTGTGCGTGTGCGTGTGCGTGTGCGTGTGAGTGTACGTACCGGCTTCCTGAGCTGGCTCTTGAGGTACTCGTACTTGCGCTTGTAGTCGCGCGAGTAGGGCACGGCGGGCCCCGCGATCTGCGGGTTGGACAGCCGCGGGTCCTCCCACTGCGTCGTGCGCGTGTCTGCGTACATACACACACATCGTTACCGGGTAAAGGCGTGGGGGGGGGGGGGATAAATACTTATTTACTTTACTACCAATGCCTTGAGAAATATTGGCGTAACGAGTTACAAATCCCACATTATAGCACATAACACATTATAGCATAGCACTAACCCTTGTTTACCGCAAGACTTATGGGTAATGCCAGAAAAATTGGCTTTAACGGTGGTAGAGCCACGCCGCAGCTTTTGCTGTTGCACGTATGGGCCAGCTCTCGTCAAGGCTGTCCAAGGGAATTTCTATAAGCCATCACTACCATCTCTGCACAGGGAGGACGACTCACTCGCCCACCCCGCAAAAAAGAAAGCCGACCTTTTAGGCTCCCTTTTTGCGTTCAACTCGACTGTTGATGACGAGGAGAACACACTGACGACCATCCCGCGGTGTGAGTGCTCCATGCCGGATGATCACAGCGCTCGGTTCGCAGAGCACTCCTCTCCCTAGATATCCACAAGTCGAGTGGGCCTGACGGAATCCCCCCAATTGTGCTGAGGACGTGTGCTCCGGAGTTGGCACCGGTTCTAGCGCATCTTTTTCGGTACTCCTACTACCTAGGCATAGTCCCGAAATCATAAAAGCCAGCTTTTGTCCACCCGATCCCTAAAAAAGGCGACCGCTCAGACCCGTCCAACTACAGGCCTATCGCCATCACCTCCTTGTTCTCTAAAATAATGGAATCCATTATTAACTGCCAGCTCATGCGGTACCTTGAGGATCACCAACTGATTAGTGACCGCCAATACAGTTTTAGTCGGTGTCGATCAGCTGGTGATCATCTGGTCTACCTGACTCATAGATGGGCGGAGGCAGTAGAGTCCAAGGAGGAGGCGTTGGCCGTTAGTTTGAACATTGCAAAGGCCTTCAATTGGGTTTGGCACAAAGCACTCCTTTCGAAGCTGCCTACCTATGATTTTCCCGAGAAATTGTGCAATTGAATCACCAGCTTCCTTGCATACCGGAGCATCAAGGTCGTTGTAGACGGTGCATACTTCGACTACAAGCCTATTAACGCTGGTGTTCCATAAGGCTGTGTGCTATCACCAACGCTGTTTCTTCTGCATATCAATGATATGTAGCAAACTGGTAACATTCATTGCTATGCGGATGACAGCACTGGTGATGCTCTATACACCGGCCGTGCCAATATTTCTCGGGAAAACGTCGCCGAGTACCGGAACAAACTTGTGTCTGAAGTCGAGTCTTTGCTGAACAAAGTCTCGGATTGGCGGCGACTAAATCTAGTCCAGTTTAATCCTCAGAAAACACAAGTTTGCGCGTTTACCGCTAAAAAGAACCCCTTTGTCGTATCTCCTCAGTTTCAAGGCACTCGCCTTGTTGCCTCAGCAGTATCGGAATTCTCGGCATCGACATACCGAGTGACGTGCAAGTTTCGTAGTCACTTGGTAGAGAAGGCTAAATTGGCCTCTAAAAAGCTTGGCGTGCTCAGCAGAGCGGGACAGTATTTCATGCCGGCACAACGCCTGCAACTTTACAAGGCGCAGGTTCGGCCTCACATTGAATACTGTTCCCATCTCTGGGCCGGGGCAACCCAGTACCAGCTCCTTCCACTTGACCGCATCCAGCGCAGAGCGGCTTGAATCGTCGACGACTGAGTCCTTTCCGATTGGCTCGATTCATTGGCGCTGCGAAGAGATGTTGCATCCCTTTGCATTTTCTTTCGCATTCACCACGGAGAGTGCTTTGAGGAATTGTTCGGATTAATCCCAACCAAATTTAACGAACGCACATCGCGGCAGAACTCCCGATACCATCCACACCATCTGTATGATTGGCGGTCCACCACTGTGCGATTTAGAAGATGTTTTCTTCCTCGCACAACTTCCTTGTGGAATCGATTACCATCAGCGGATCAGACCGATACGGCTTAGGGTCCTTCAAGAAAAGAGCCTACTCCTTTTTAAAAGGCCGGCAACGCATCTGCAATTCCCCTGGTTCCGCTGGTGTTGCAGTTGTTCATGGGCGGCAGTAGTCACTTACCATCAGGTGAGCAGTATGCTCGTTTGCCCCCTCTTATAAAAAAAATCCGACAATTGGTAGGTATCTGGTAGGCACCACAAACACCACACCGGCTGCTAAGCGTGGTAAAAAAAGCAAATCCTTCTTTAAGGAAGAAACTCGAGTTATGCTGTAGATTTTTAAGAGCTGCTGATGACGGTGTTGACTGCATGAAAATTTTATCTCAGTACGTCACCGGTTCTAAGAACGTAATAACTCCAGGATCCTTAGAACCAGACCTGGCAGTCATCAACCAACCCCATATCTCTGACCCAAACCTCAACATTTTTAACTAATCTTTAAAGGGAACCTTTATAGTCCCGTACTTCTAGTGACACTAGTGTCAACCGTTATACGGCCAGCCATCAAGAGTAAATAAAACATCACGGTGTTTTCCATAGACGACACTCACAGCACCCTCGGGAGTAGGTGAGCGGCGACCATAAAGCGGTAAACACACGTTTAAAAATTTCATTACTTAATTTTAACAATGATGAGCTGTTCGCAGTGTTATAGCCGACTATCACAACACCTTCGGAAAATATTTGGCCACGACCATGTGGCGGTTAGTACAACTGCATTCATTCAATGTGATTTCTTTATATTAAAAATAACGCAAAAACAAATACAAACTTAGAACACTAACTATGATCAATAAAGAAGATTCTGCCGTCTGTGTGTACGCGTTCCTCCCAGCCCTCGGGCAGCGGGCCGAGCTCGTCAGCCTCTGCCACAGAGCTGCTCTGTGCCGCCGTCGGAAGGCTCGACGCGCAACCTAAAAATCAACCTTAGCTTTGTAATTTTAGGGTTAGTTTTGTTTTACAAAGATTAACATTTATGAAGTTTTTAAGTAAAAAAACACAGTTGCAATAACGGTACAAACAAAATTAACACATCGTTACAGTAACACACACCAGTTCTTGGATCAATCCACGTAGTTGTCTTCTGGTTGTGATCGATGAAGAATATCCTTCCATTTGGAGCTCGCTGCATACTCCATCCGGGTGGCAATCCTGAAAAGTGATATAAAATAGCGATCACTGTTTATTTGTTATGATTTTTTGTGCCGAAGCAAAGACTACCATTGATCCTCATAAGGTGATGTAATGCTTCTAAGTGTGACGGCTTACAATAGAAAGGGAAATAAAAATTCAATATGTTCATACCCAAAATCCTTTCAAGTTTGTATTAGGCGTACTGTATGCACATTGCATTTTGCGTTATTGTCAACAGAACAACATACAGACACACAGCTTCTTCTAAATAATATAATTTATATGGGTCGTGCTGGGGTTAGATTTAATAGATGGCTGGGTTTATTCGACCCCATAGAAACTATGTACGAATGTAAATACTGCGCTAAAGTTGAAAGCGGACGTGGGCATAAAATTTACTGCAATCCCTTTGACTCTTTCTGTACTACGTAACTATCTGATCAAACTTTACTAAGCAAAAGTTAACTCGCTTAATCTGAGATTAAATCTGAGATTACTATTTTTTTAAAACCAATAATTTAATAAAACTACAAACCATCGCTGTTCGGTAGATTCTGGGAACTGCTAGCACTGCTACTTCTTGTACTGTCCGTCGATCCGTCTGTTTCGTCCTAAAACATACAAGTAGTTGCAATCTCGACTTCAAAACACTGGTCATAGGGTGCAATATCCATCTTTTGTATAAGATCTACGAATTATTTTCCCAGAGCTATGTTTGATATAAGTATATACAATGTAAAATGAAAATTAGTTCTAAAATCTGTATTTTCAACGATAGCCAAACTATAAAGTTTTATATTTGACTAATCTTGTATAGACTTAAATTGATTATTGCAAATTTAAAGACCGATTGACAAATCACGAGCTACATCACAACAATAGTAATACATAGATAATATAATGTAAAACAAGCACTAAAAACACAATACATTACGCTTGCAAAACATGCAGTTCACTATATACATGCAATCTCTATTGTCTATTGTTATTAATAATAATAAAGCGTAAAAAGCAACAACACATGTTTATGATTCGAAGTTACTAACAAAAGCCATTCACATATTTTTATAACAACAATTTTAAAACATATTTCGTTAATACATATAGGTCCTAATATAAGGAAACCTATTATATATACATATATGAAGGATTCCCTAAGCACTTAATAATGTTTGCTAAGTATAATACTCCAATAAAAGTAGAATTTTCGATAATAACATACATAATTCATAGATATATGCGATAAGATTTAAAATTTTGTACCCAGGATTTGAAAAATATAGTTTGAACCTACTTAATATGTGAATTAAGAAGCGTAAGATAAGGATAATTTATATAAAGCACGTGTTCATTATTCCAATGATGTACTAACACAAAACAGTAACATATTCCACACAGCACTTTAAATAAATAAACGTAGTTAAATGTTAGGTTTGATCGGGCCGGTGAAAACATTGATAGTAAGTTTATAACTGTTAGTTAAAAGCATGTAGCATGTTATTTCTGTCCTTCACAATGCCGTCATAGACAATTGTGCAAAGCGTCCAATATCCTCGTTATTATTTGTTGATTCAGCCAGCGTTTTAGTCTTTAGTAAAAAACAACAAAAGAAAAAAGGGCTTATCTGGCCGAATAAACTTAATACGTTCAAACTTATTGAACAGCTACAGGCGTGTCGTAAAGCAAATTTGTGTACAAACTAATAATTCAAGAGTCAGATTTAAAAATATTTTTATATTATGCGATGGTTTTATACGAGCACAGTTTGTAATATATATCGGCAATTTTTACACACTAAGCTGAAGGTGTCAGTTACAGGTCATATTCAAAAAACAAGTCTTTAGTAACAAATGTTAAAACTCCCCAAAAATATCTTTACATACAGAAATCATGTGTCAAATGTATGAATCGTCTCTAAGTTAGCTATCTTCATCCACCATCGTCTTTATAGTCCATCACTTGCCGTGTTGTGTGTGTTCGTGTGTGTGTTTAAAGGTAGTTAATAAATGTGGATGGGTGCCTTGGGACCATCCACATTCATAAAAATATATGTAAGGTTCAACAAGGTTCAACACGATTGTCGTCTTTACAAAAATCTTCCAGCTTTTATATTTTAAGAATAATGTTCCTATTCCAGTAATTAAACCAAAGTTTCCACAGACTCTCAAACCAACAAACATGAAAGATGAACTTGCAGAAAGAACACGCACTTAAGTACCACATATACATCTCAAATATTCGCAAATAACAACAGTTTTAGATACATACGAGGGACGTTCAATGTTTAGGGTGTAAAGTTTAGGGTGGGGTTTGCTAATAATGTGGCTAAAAAAATCAATAGCTAACGACACTACCTGAGGGTACAATTATGACCTTCAGTCATAGACGACAAGACTGAAGGAGACGAAAACAAGGAGAAACTTAAAAAAACATCCATGAAGAAATGGTGGCCGGTTACCAACACTCTGCTCCTTCAATGTCAACCGTACAGAAGTGGTCAAGTGAACTCAAACGAGGCAGGGAAAACATCGAAGATGACCCCCGCCCGGGTGGGCCAATCACAGCGGTTACAGAAGGAAATGTGAAAATTATTAGCGTACTTGTATTAAAAGATGTATGAGTAAGAATTAAGATGTTAGCAGAAATGACTAACCTATCCGTTGGTACCATACACACCATATTGTTTGATAGTCCAGTGAAATGTCTGAAATCAACATTTTGGCACTCAACTTTGCTATGACCCTGAGAGTAAACAGGAGTCTATACAATGGCATAAAAAGGAATCAGATCCCCCCCCCCCCCCTCAAGAAGTTCAAAGTCATTCCATCGGCCGGTAAAATCATAGCCACAGTGTTTTGGGATTCCAAAGAAATACTATTGATCGAGTACACAAAAAAAGGTGAAACCATCGCAGACAAATACTCAGCCACTTTAAGCTGTTTGAGAGAAGCAATAAAATAAAGCAGAAGAAGAAAGCTGAATAAGTGAGTGCTGTTTCTTGATGACAACGCACCGATTCACAAGGCGCGAATCTCCAAGGCTGCTGAACGAGACTGCGGTTTTGAGGAAATTAATAACCACCACACAGCCCAGATCTAGGAAAGCGAATTGCTGATGATGATGAGTTCAAGTCCGCTGTACATGAACATTTTTCAGGCCAAGACGAAGAATATTTTTGAAGGGAATAGATAAGCTATTTTAACGCACAAGTAATTATAGTATTGATGTCATGGGAGACTATATTGCAAAATAAAAATAAAAAATAATTTTTTCTTTTTTCGTGCGTCTAGCAGTGCACTTTTACGAGCTGATAAATAAAGAAAGGAGAAAGATGTTTGTTTGAGTACGTACCAAGAATTTGAGCATGGTTTCGGCATTAATTTAAATATACACAGAGACGGAGTGCTGTGGCTGAGCACAGATCATGTTAATCATGTCATAGGAGCCAATTACAGTAACGAGGATATCCGCAAAAGAACATGAGAAAGTGGCAATGGGTCGGCCAAATATAACTCGAAGAACCGACAACCGATTGAAAATAGAGGTTCTCAGCGTCGTACTGGCAAGTGCAGTGGTGGGCGACCTCCTACTAGATAAAGTAACAACCTGGTGAAACATGCAAGACCATATTTTGTGGCAATCTAGAAGGGAGACCTATGTTCATCTGTGGACTTGTGATGGGCTATAATTTTGATGGACGGCTTTAGAAAACTCCTTTCATTTCTGATGGTTTCGAAGCAGAGAAGGATCCACTGCGCTCTCCGATTGTGTTTTAGGGGACTTCACACATTTACCGGTGACTCAAGACATAGGTTTAAGTTTCTTTCGTATTAAATCAGAATTCAAAATTTAACACTGCAATATATTTTATAGAATAAGAGTGACAAACGAGCACACAGCCCATCTAATGGTAAGTGGATGCTGTGGCCCAAAAACATCTACATTTTTCCTCGATAAGGAATCAAAATGCAGATATGTTGTCAGCCGTGAGGACTAAGATGGAATATCTAGTTTCCAGTAAAAAGGATCTTCGGTTCTCTACACTCACAGTACGAAACACAGCAGTAGTATGCTACTATTTCACGCTGGTATTTTACAAGGCGATCCATTCGTGCTACAACCATAATATAGCTGTAGCATGGCTCTACGACGTATAAGATATAACAACATGGATCGACATTAACTTAAGAACTTATATTGTGTATAATTTAGCGAGTTTCGATAACGAGCATGAATAAAAATCAGATCAGTGAATTGTGAAGTTACTTTGAAATTTTTGATCTATACTTTAAAGACTATATAAGACTATATACTATTTGTGTCATGGATGTAGTGTGACTATAAACACTTGTGTGATGAATGTGGTTTAGCCTCAAACATTTTGTACACACGTCACGCCTCAAAACTCTTGTCTTACCTCCGTATCATCCATAGAGCTGGCTGTGGCCCTCCTTAGGCGGGAGGTTGGTGTTCTGGTCTCTGGTGTGCCTCCGGTTGGGGTACTAAAATGATTTTCGTCAAAAGTCAAAGATTCATCTATTACTTCAATTAATTCGACCTCTTCATCTTCAGCCTCAGTCGTTGTTCTCGGCTCTTCCGCACCATTAACCCCTGAATTGCCTGCATTTTCATTTCCTTCTGCCTCCTCGGTCACATGTTCTGTGCAATCAGGTTGCACAGAAGTACTAACATTATTTTGTTGCCTATCTGATAAATCAACATTATCGTTATCTCTTGTAGATTCTTCAGTATCATCAACATCGGCAATATTGTCTTCACTATCGACTTGACTAGTGCTAGCGTTTTCATGATGACATGTCTCTTGAGCATTTTCGATAGTGTTGACATTGGCCTCAACCACCTCCAAGTTGTTTTCAACTTCTGTATGTTCGCTTATTTGCGCCTCCACAACATCGTTATCGTCGTCATTTCTATTTTCTCTTATATTAGTATCACAGTCATTGCTTAAATTAGCTGTCTCTGTAGGAACATTTTCGCCGGCCGGTTCGGGCGACCGGGTCGGTGTGGAGAATGGCGTGACCTCAGTAGAGGTGCTGTCTGCTCGCCTATCCCTTATATCCTCCTGTCAGACAGTTGTATTTGATTCTAACATGTATATAAATAATAGTGATCAGGACCATATCAATAATAACCCAAATTGTAATAAACGAGTATTATTAACTTTATATAATATATTGAAACTAACTAAAAGTACCCTGAAATATATGAATTGTATATTTCGTTTAATGTAACTATAAATCACAATCTGACAATTAATAGATTCAATCGATACGGTTCTAAATCAAAAGAACATAAATTTTAAAACACTTTTAATCGCAATTATTAATTTTATTTGGAACATTAATCTTGATCGGCAAAATTGTCTATGGATAAGGACAACACAATGATAACGGAAATATTCACGATTTGTAACTTGAAACAGCAACGTGTTATTGAATATATTAACAGAAGTTAAGAGGTATTTGTAAGCTGCTGGCCATAAGCGACCGTTGCCGCTACAAATTAGTTTAAAATTGAGTTGTTTTTCTATTGGATTTCCACCATGCTAGCACTTGAATCACTTGCAATACTGTAACATATAAAAAACAAAAACAAAATGTTGCTGTTGCAAGCTATGCTACATCAAATGCCTACATGATTCCTCTGTTAGTATGCAAATTTAATGACAAAAGCAGAGGCAGCGATAAGGACTGCTTACAGAAGTGAAAACTCAATAATATATGCGTATACATGTACGCAGGCCGCTATGACAGCTGCAGCTAGAGACATGCTCGTGCGCAGTACGTCACGAGCATGTAGAGGTCATCAGTGACGGAAACCCATTAGTTTTTCCTCTACCGAAAATCGCTCAACGCGACTGAAGAAGTTTTCACTTCAATAATGTATATTATTATGCAAGTGTGTTATGCAATATCTTGTAGGAGAGTTGATGAAAGAACTATATCACCGGAAACATATTTTATTGATGTTAAAAATCGATATTATTCATTTTCTGGCGATTCACATTTAGATTAATCTAATCTACGTCAAGATACAAAAAAGGTTTTGTTAGATGTTTCGAATGTTAGTTCTATCTCATCCGCAGAGGCCCATGCTGCGAGAAAAAATGGAACTGTAAAAGTGCAAAATGAGTGCTTTATATTATGTATTCAGGTACAAATTCTACTGGTTTAGATTTAGTGTCATTTTACCCACTGTAAAATAATTAAAATAATTTTATTATTAAATAATTACATCCATAATTTTAAATTTCACATAAATATTACTGAAATGCATAATGAACATATCAAATATTAGACGAATATAACATATATAATATTACTTAATGTGCTTGTGCATGCAATTATTAATACTTGTTAAACACTAGTTCATGCAAAATTCACATAATAAATACAATACCAAAATTTAAATTCGTAATAACTATGTCGATAGAGGGCGTTATTAAATAATTAAGACATCAGATCACTACTTTGAAAAAAAAACATTAATCACTTTAGAAATACGGATGATCTCAAGTGGAAATCTGGGCTGGAAGAAATTTGACGAATAGGCTTTTAATGATCAATTGCTGCCGCGCTGTGCCCGAACAACCAAGCTAAGCAATCGAGAGACAACAACAGCTTGGACTGATCATACCTATGAAAAATTAACTAAATCTTCAATCCCTGTTTTCTCCAAAACTAGGTCTATTTTAATTTTATTTCAAGAACAAAATCATGTCTGTATGTTTCATTTGTATTTTTATGGTCGTTTAATGTTTTTGCTAGATGCCGGATAGCAGCGGAATAACTGGATAGCTAAATAAAATTTTAATTAATGGAAATAAATATTATATAGGAACAAGAAGTGGTAGACAGATTTTGTAAAAGAAAACGAAGGACTTCCGCCTACAAATCCAAATCCTCTTAATGTGATATTTCAATAACACTAACTTAACGATAAAGGAAGTATATAAAAGCGACAAAGGATACATGTATACTTTATTGCTTTTATATACCTACCATGGTAGGTGACCAATGCTGCCCATATACACCTTCCAAAAATCCTACAGATATGTTGCCTCTCATAGGACTAAAAAATAATTTTTCATAGTCTGTATTTATACTAATGTTCTCATTATTCAAATTAGAACAAAGCAGTACGTCGCTGCTTAGCGGGAAATTATTTATTTTAAGTTATATATAGTTTGCCGTGTAGTGGCGGTCAAGAATATCCACTACCCCATATCCACCCGTGGGTGTCGTAAAAGGCGACAAAGGGAAACAGGCAGGAGATGGGCAGCAGCATCTTCTTGATAACAACAAACTAACAATAAAAAAAAACTGCGGTTGCCAACCCGCTCGCCAAGCGTGGCAACTGTGGCAAATACCCCCCTATGAATGACAGTAACAAAGAAACGGCCCCCAGTCCCCGGCGGCCCCGCTATTCCTGGCTACGGTGGCGACCATGGTAACGGCGGGGCAGGGGATGCTAAGAATCTCCCGTGGAGGTTCGGTTGCCACCTTAGACGACTCGACCTGGCAACGTACAACGCACGCACCCTGAGGACTGACGAGAAGATCGTGGAGCTGGAAGAAGAGATAGACAAGTTGCGCTGGCATATTATAGGATTATCCGAAGTCCGAAGAGAGGGGGAGGACACGGTAACCCTCGAATCCGGTAACTTGCTCTATCACCGGGAGGGCGACCATCTGTCCCAAGGAGGTGTCGGATTTATCGTCCACAAGTCTCTCGTTAACAACGTTGTAAAGATCGGGAGTGTGTCGACGAGGGTTGCGTACCTTATACTCAGAATCACCAAACGGTATTCGCTGAAGGTCATACAGGTTTACGCACCAACCTCGGCCCACCCCGATGAGGAGGTGGAGGAAATGTATGAGGATATCTCTAGAGCCATGCATTCCTCCAAAACCCAATATACGGTGTTAATGGGAGACTTTAATGCAAAACTAGGCACAAGAGAGAACGGTGAGCTGAAAGTAGGGAAATTTGGAATAGGGCAACGGAACCCAAGGGGCCAGCAGCTGGCCGACTTCATGGAGAAAGAGGGACTCTTTATGATGAACTCTTCCAGAAGCGGTCCTACAGGAAGTGGACCTGGTCGAGCCCCGACAGTTCGACAAAAAATGAGATTGACTTCATTATGACGACCAGACGACAACTGTTCAGTGATGTCTCCGTGATCGCGAGGGTGAAAACTGGTAGCGATCACCGAATGGTTAGAGGCACACTGAACCTAAACGTTAAGTTGGAGAGGTCTCGTCTAATGAAGTCAACGCTCCGTCCCCCTCGTGCTTTGTTCCAAAGTTCCGAAACCTTTCAGCTCGAGTTACAAAACCGTTTTCAGTGCCTAGAAGACTGCAATGAAGTGAACGATATGAATGACAAGCTCGTGGAAACTGTCCATGCGGTCGGAGCTAAGTTCTGCAAGACCCGCCGCAGAAGAACACAAAAACTCTCCGATCACACTCTTAATCTCATGGCTGTTAGACGGGAGATGAAGCTACATTCTTCAACAGACTTGACAGCATACAGGCATCTGAACAGACAGATCTCCAAATGCATGCGGCGGGACTTACGCAACTTCAATACAGCTCGTATTGAAGAAGCGATCGAGCGGAACCAAGGCTCCAAAGTCTTTGCCAGAGATCTGTCTGCCAGAAAGAGCCAACTGTCAAAGCTGAAGACAGAATGTGGCAGCATCGTTTCCGGGACACCTGAGATTTTGAGTGAGATTGAGAGGTTCTATGGGCAGTTGTACACGTCATCGTTGGAGCCACACGCAAGTGTGAGTAACGATCCAAGAGCGAGTCTCATCCGACACTATTCCGAAGATATCCCGGACGTCAGTCTGAGCGAGATTAGAATGGCTCTCCAGCACCTTAAAAACGGTAAGGCCCCAGGCGAGGATGGAATTACAGCGAAGCTTCTGAAAGCGGGTGGAAAACCGGTACTTGAAGTCCTTCAGAAGCTCTTTAATTCCGTCCTCCACGGTGGCATTACACCGGAGGCGTGTAGCAGAAGTGCGGTGGTCTTGTTCTTCAAGAAAGGTGACAACGCTCTCTTGAAGAACTACAGACCGATTTCCCTTCTGAGCCGCGTCTACGTGCTGTTTTCGAGAGTCATTACGAATCGTCTCGCGCGCAGACTTGACGACTTCCAGCCTCCCGAACAAGCCGGTTTCCGAAAGAGCTTTAGCACCATAGACCACATACATACCCTTCGGCAAATTGTACAGAAGTCCGAAGAGTACAATTTGCCACTATGTCTGGCGTATGTGGACTATGAGAAAGCCTTTGATTCCGTCGAAATTTGGGCGGTGCTGCAGTCCCTTCAGCGGTGCCAAGTTGACTGTCGGTATATCGAAGTGTTGAAGTGCTTGTACAGTAGGGCTACGATGGCTATCCGAGTACAGAACCAGAGTACGAAACCTATCTAATTGCAGAGAGGTGTAAGACAGGGTGACGTCATATCCCCGAAACTCTTCACCGCTGCATTGGAAGACGTTTTCAAGCTTCTGGGCTGGAAAGGATATGGTATCAACATCAATGGCGAGTACATCACTCACCTTCTATTTGCCGACGATATAGTCCTTATGGCAGAATCGCTGGAGGACCTAAGCACTATGCTCAATGACCTCAATAGTGTTTCCCAACGGATAGGTCTTAAGATGAACATGGACAAAACAAAGATCATGTTTAATGTCCATGTCACACCTATGCCGGTAGTTGTTGGGAACACTAAGCTCGAAGTTGATGACGAGTATGTTTACCTGGGACAAATAGTCCGACTAGGTAAGTCCAACTTCGACCGAGAGGTCAATCGACGGATTCAACTCGACTGGACAGCGTTCGGGAAGCTACGACACATCTTCTCGTCAGACATACCTCAAAACCTTAAAACGAAATTGTACAACCAGTGCCTGTTGCCAGTGATGATTTACGGAACTGAGACGTGGTCCTTCACTACTGACCGTATGAGAAAGCTCAAGGTCGCTCAGCGAGCTATAGACAGGGCTATGCTCGGAGTTTCTCTGCGTGATAAACTTAGGAATGAGGATATCCGCAGTAGAACCAGAGTAACCGACATAGCCCAACGGATTAGTAAGCTGAAGTGGCAGTGGGCCGGCCATATAGCTCGAAGAACCGACAACCGAAGGGGAAGAAAGGTTCTCGAGTGGCAGCCTCGTACCGGTAGGCGAAGTGTAGGGCGTCCCCCCACGAGATGGAGTGACGACCTGGTAAGACATGCAGGAAGTCGATGGATGCTGGTGGCTCAGGACCGTGCTTTATGGCATTCTTTGGGGGAGGCCTATGTTCAGCAGTGGACTTGTGAAGGGCTGTAATGATGATGATGATGATATAGTTTGAAACAATACTTTTATAATAATACAATTTCAAAATAATATTTAATTTTATTAAGTTTATTCTAATAAACAGCAGAAAAAGAAATTTGATTTATCTTCAAAGTATACCTCTCAAATCTCCACTTTTGGACATAAGCCACTCTCAAGTTGATAAGATTTTTCGCTTAATTTAGTCTTGTAAGTTTCATTCAAAATGATTAATAGAAATAGTTGTAAGATGTTTTCAATAACGGGCGATATGACCATGCCAAATATATCATCAAACTCCGGCCATAATAGCAAGCTCTATAGCTCGCTGAGCGACCTTGAGAAGATCATACGACCGGTAGTGAAGGGGAGCGAATGTATTTATATGATAAATAATGAGGCGAACCTTAATCACTAAAATATTATATATTAATAGTTAATCTTTACCGTTTTTTCAAAAATACAAATTGAAGAGCAGATAATATGAAATGGGTTAGTAAAAATAAAAAGATAAATCACAAAGTAATTAATTTAAATGAAAAAATAACGCCCTCTAATCAAACTACAATTTATCATTCAAAACTAATTTAATGCCAAGGTTGTTAATGTATCTTTAATTTATTTTTGATCTGTGACAAAAAATGTCTGCGCAACTTTCTTCGAAATATTAAAAAAATAATTCACTATTGCATGGTCGTGCATAATGTGCATTTTAAGAATTATAATGATAAATGACGTCACATGTTCCTTGGAAAGATCTCGTTCCAAAGATACATCAACTTTCCAGCTCAAAAAATTAAACCTCTATTACTATATGTTTAAAGAATATACTCCTTTGCGCGATTTATTCTAACACCGTAAGGCGTTGCTAAAGGCGATTCAAGTTAATGTAAAATAGTACGTAAGCTGTCTAACATAAAGTTGCAATTGAAATGTCTCAACACAAACCTGATGATTGGAGGCTGAAGGGCTGGACGTGTGCTCCTCGTCGGCCGAAATGTGAAACCGCCTTTGGAACTCGGTGGCGGCCGTTTCCATACGTTCCGCTTGTGTTTCCGTGCTAATGTTACGGCTGATGACACAATGAAATGACCATTATTTGTGACGATAATTTTACTTCTCAACAAGAATCAAGTGGCAACCCTACCACCAATGCACCTGCTGACTGAAGTTCGAGGCTCTATTTAAATAAAACTAATTTTACGGATAGTAAACAAATGATGGCGGAAAATACATTCCAAAACAAAGACTTCTACATATACTATTAAACTTAATACTTCTGCGGCCTTAATACATTGCGCACTAATTTACTATCAATTTCTCGAAACTCCTTTAGTCGACTGCGAGCGAACAAGAAAATTATTTCTTTGTTTTGTAAACTGCGAACAACAGTAACTGTCGTAAATGAAAATACAACTGTGTGGAATATTTACCGTGCCACGCCATGAGGTCGCGGCATACAGACAATCCATCATTCCTCTCGTCCTGTCTCATCGTGGTTGGACATCGGAGTAAACTGTTATATATTTTTTAATTTAATGCACAAAGTAGACATGGCAAACACAATGCAATTTAGAAGTACATTTTGATAAACGAACGAACAATCCATGTAAGTGGCGTAGACCATAGATCTATAACATCAAGTAAGAATCAGGATGAAATGTTTTGTTACCAGTAAAAAGGTTCTCCCGTTCTTTACACTCAACATATGAAATATAGCAACATTAAGCTGTTACTTCACGCTAGTATTCTGTAAAACGCTGGTCCTTCCCTGTTCGAGTCGACCCATTTGTGCTGCAGCCATTATAATCTACAGAGTGGCGCAACCACGTACACTATTGTTGCGAGCTTGGGATTCAAGACAATTAAAACTGCCGAGTGAATTACCAAAATTGACACTTTAATTACAAAACACTAATTACAACTTAAAACCACACTAATAATAAAACACAATTGTACTACTGATCACTTTAGTTCGCAGTTGTATCGCTTTAAAGTATTCGCTTATATCGCCAATTCAATACTGCTTCGGTCGCGGTCTATACAGGCCTTATATAGGGCCTCAGGTAGTTTCCAGAACCTTCTACTTCTTCGAGTACATATCGGCCCCGATTAACTAGATGTCGATAATTCCGGAAAGTTCTTCCATGGAAATTTCTAGAAAACTTGTTTGTAATTCCATTATAAAAGAAAAGATGTAGTTTTGTATGATACAAACACAGGAGCGACACTTACACTAGGTAATACACCTTACTTCTATTGAATTTTACCTTCATTGGTGACTGGTAGTGGTGCCAGACATTTAGTACTGCGATTGCTAAATCGCCTGCAAATAATCCATAAGTGGCCAATATCCATCAGTGGTTAACAATCTACTGCTAGACAAATACTGAGCAAATAAAAAAGAATATGGCCGGAAGCCCGTGAGTTCCGAATGTTAGTGTATGCTCATGATCGTGGACAGATAAATACAGAGACAGCGGACATTTTAGTTAGAAACTTCTTTTCCACACTTACGTGAAAGTCGGCCGCTCCCATTGCGTCGATCTCGCTATGTGATTGACGTAGTACGTCCTCCCGTTAGCGTCCTGCCTCTCTTCCCAGCCCGGTGGTAATGGATCCCCGCCAATGGTCTGCAACAAACACAACAATAATAAATAAAACCACAATAGAAAACTTAGTACACACATATCTGATAACCTGACTCGACCTGGCAACGTACAACGCACGCACCCTGAGGACTGACGAGAAGATCGTGGAACTGGAAGAAGAGATAGACAATTTGCGCTGGCATATTATAGGATTATCCGAAGTCCGAAGAGAGGGGGAGGACACGGTAATCCTCGAATCCGGCAACTTGCTCTATCACCGGGAGGGCGACCATCTGTCCCAAGGAGGTGTCGGATTTATCGTCCACAAGTCTCTCGTTAACAACGTTGTAAAGATCGGGAGTGTGTCGACGAGGGTTGCGTACCTTATACTCAGAATCACCAAACGGTATTTGCTGAAGGTCATACAGGTTTACGCACCAACCTCGGCACACCCCGATGAGGAGGTGGAGGAAATGTATGAGGATATCTCTAGAGCCATGCATTCCTCCAAAACCCAATATACGGTGTTAATGGGAGACTTTAATACAAAACTAAGCACAAGAGAGAACGGTGAGCTGAAAGTAGGGAAATTTGGAATAAGGCAACAGAACCCAAGGGGCCAGCAGCTGGCCGACTTCATGAAGAAAGAGGGACTCCTTATGATGAACTCTTTCTTCCAGAAGCGGCCCCACAGGAAGTGCACCTGGTCGAGCCCCGATGGTTCGAAAAAAAAATGAGATTGACTTCATTATGACGACCAGACGACAACTGTTCAGTGATGTCTCCGTGATCGCGAGGGTGAAAACTGGTTAAGTTGGAGAGGTCTCGTCTAATGAAGTCAACGGCTCCGTCTCCCTCGTGCTCTAATCCAAAGTCCCGAAACCTTTCAGCTCGAGTTAAAAAACCGTTTTCAGTGCCTAGAAGACTGCAATGAAGTGGACGATATGAATGACAAGCTCGTGGAAACTGTCCATGCGGTCGGAGCTAAGTTCTGCAAGACCCGCCGCAGAAGAACACAAAAACTCTCCGATCACACTCTTAATCTCATGGCTGTTAGACGGGAGATGAAGCTACATTCTTCAACAGACTTGACAGCATACAGGCATCTGAACAGACAGATCTCCAAATGCATGCGGCGGGACTTACGCAACTTCAATACAGCTCGTATTGAAGAAGCGATCGAGCGGAACCAAGGCTCCAAAGTCTTTGCCAGAGATCTGTCTGCCAGAAAGAGCCAACTGTCAAAGCTGAAGACAGAATGTGGCAGCATCGTTTCCGGGACACCTGAGATTTTGAGGGAGATTGAGAGGTTTTATGGGCAGTTGTACACGTCATCGTTGGAGCCACACGCAAGTGTGAGTAACGATCCAAGAGCGAGTCTCATCCGACACTATTCCGAAGATATCCCGGACGTCAGTCTGAGCGAGATTAGAATGGCTCTCCAGCACCTTAAAAACGGTAAGGCCCCAGGCGAGGATGGAATTACAGCGGAGCTTCTGAAAGCGGGTGGAAAACCGGTACTTGAAGTCCTTCAGAAGCTCTTTAATTCCGTCCTCCATGGTGGCATTACACCGGAGGCGTGGAGCAGAGGTGCGGTGGTCTTGTTCTTCAAGAAAGGTGACAACGCTCTCTTGAAGAACTACAGACCGATTTCCCTTCTGAGCCGCGTCTACGTGCTGTTTTCGAGAGTCATTACGAATAGTCTCGCGCGCAGACTTGACGACTTCCAGCCTCCCGAACAAGCCGGTTTCCGAAAGGGCTTTAGCACCATAGACCACATACATACCCTTCGGCAAATTGTACAGAAGTCCGAAGAGTACAATTTGCCACTATGTCTGGCGTATGTGGACTATGAGAAAGCCTTTGATTCCGTCAAAATTTGGGCGGTGCTGCAGTCCCTTCAGCGGTGCCAAGTTGACTGTCGGTATATCGAAGTGTTGAAGTGCTTGTACAGTAGGGCTACGATGGCTATCCGAGTACAGAACCAGAGTACGAAACCTATCCAATTGCAGAGAGCTGTAAGACAGGGTTACGTCATATCCCCGAAACTCTTCACCGCTGCATTGGAAGACGTTTTCAAGCTTCTGGACTGGAAAGGATACGGTATCAACATCAATGGCGAGTACATCACTCACCTTCGATTTGCCGACGATATAGCCCTTATGGCAGAATCGCTGGAGGACCTAAGCACTATGCTCAATGACCTCAATAGTGTTTCCCAACGGATAGGTCTTAAGATGAACATGGACAAAACTAAGATCATGTTTAATGTCCATGTCACACCTATGCCGGTAGTTGTTGGGAACACTAAGCTCGAAGTTGTTGACGAGTATGTTTACCTGGGACAAATAGTCCGACTAGGTAAGTCCAACTTCGACCGAGAGGTCAATCGACGGATTCAACTCGGTTGGGCAGCGTTCGGGAAATTACGGCACATCTTCTCGTCAGGTATACGTCAAACCTTGAAAACGAGACTGTACACCCAGTGCGTGTTGCCATTGATGACATACGGAACTGAGACGTGATCCTTCACTGCTGGCCGGATGAGGAAGCTCAAGGTCGCTCAGCGAGCTATGGAGAGGGCTATGCTCGGAGTTTCTCTGCGTGATAAACTTAGGAATGAGGATATCCGCAGTAGAACCAGAGTAACCGACATAGCCCAACGGATTAGTAAGCTGAAGTGGCAATGGGCCGGCCATATAGCTCGAAGAACCGACAACCGATGGGGAAGAAAGGTTCTCGAGTGGCAGCCTCGTACCGGTAGGCGAAGTGTAGGACGTCGCCCCACGAGATGGAGTGACGACCTGGTAAGACATGCAGGAAGTCGATGGATGCAGGTGGCTCAGGACCGTGCTTTGTGGCATTCTTTGGGGGAGGCCTATGTTCAGCAGTGGACTTGTGAAGGGCTGTAATGATGATGATGATGATGACATATCTGATAATGCCTCGTTTTGAGGCGAAATTGTGACAGTCGGGTGGTTGTTTGGTTGTATGTGGTAGTGTGCACGATCATAAATATGCGCTTTATTATTATTTTATTATGATAGTTTAAAATGTTCCTTACATTTCTTATATAGTCTGTTCGTAGACTTGTTCTATAGAATTGACATAAATATTTTAAATAAGTCACGCAATAGCAGCTGTCGCAAAAGTATTGCAATATATGTGTCGGGCGTCGCTTATCGCCGCAAGCACAGTTTTGTGGTACTTTGTGCAGGCTCGCAGCGGCTAGCGAGCGCGGGCGGGCGGGCGAGCCGACACGGCGGCGGCCAACTATTAACAAAATAATTAACATGCCGCAATTGATAATGAGTTTAAGAATCCTGTTTTTAAACTGTGATGTGAAACTTTTTACGGGAGGGCTTGAAATTCTAATCCGCAACCTTTTTGTGTGAGGAAAAGTGGTGGAGGTAAAAACTACGTACCGCGCACGGAGCAAATACAAAGAGAAGACGGCCTAAGCAACTGTACACTGTGATTCTAACTAGGTCCTGACGTCATCACAGTGGGCGTGGCTTTAGTTAGTATACTGTCAGCGTTCAAGCTGTGCGCTTATGTGTCAAAAAACGCAAATTTATTGTATTTTCGTAGTATAGTTTTTTATCGTGTAAAAACTACTCATATAGACGTTCTGATGCCATAGATGGCATCATATTTCATTTGTATATAATTTTATACCTTATTTATTAATATAGTTCTAGAAAAATCTGTCGTCGTAGAAAAAATGTTTGCGTCGGCTTTCAAACATGATTAAATATATTCGCCACTAGATGGCGACACTTTGTGTCATGGGAACTAAAAATATAAATGTACATAGAGCTCAGTATTAGTAAAATTATCATGCGAAGGTGTTGAAATTTGTTTTGCATTCAGTTCTAAAGAATTCTTAATCGCCAAAATATTACTTTTAAAGTTTTTATAATCATTTTATGAACAGACCGCCATCTATAGTCAAGGTAGCTAAACTACATTACAAGAACGATATGAAAAGATGCGAGTAGTTTTACTATTTATCGGTAGATGGAAAATAGTAAAGTGGGCGGGGCTTAACATCCCCTCACCCCGCAAATTGTCACGCGTTGTTACATAGTGAAATCTAATTACAACACCTCTTTTTTGTATTTGTTCTGCGGTTCTGCATTCGTGATGATTCAAATCGCGAACGCAGGCCATTACATACCATAAGGTATATAATAATACAATTACAATACTATAACGGTCTTTCGTTATCTATTAATTTTATTCAAGATAGTTACCAAGTTATTATTATTTAGTTATAAGTATTTATCTTAGAAAGAGTGATCGCATTTGAGTAATAGCGCTATCTACCACATTTTGTACGTACCACCATGATTGTTAATTAATTTTGGTTCGATAAAATGTCTATACTGTCGAATGAAGTAGATGGCGCTACTCAAAATGAACAAGGTAACTTTGAAGCCCAATAAGGCAGCCCAACGTTTATTTTAAACAACATTCATTTAAATAAACTTTTGTTGACATTATATAAAACGTTGGTTTAATTAAAATAAAATTATATAAAAAATTACAAAAATATTAAAGAAATACCTAATTAACAAACTTTAATGAGTATTTTGTGTTACACCGGGATCTATAATAATTACTTCATTCACTGTGGTGAATCCTAGTGTTGACTAAACCGATAATTTCTCTTCTTAATATCGAGGATGATGCACTGTGACACATATTATGTTTTTAATGTTATGTAAATAAATGAATCATATACACAATCTATGCTATTCAAAGGCCTTTGATGAATAATAGAAATGTTTCCCTGTAATACAAAAGAGTCACTTCTATTGTATTTTCACGACACACACTTTTATATAACAACAAACCGCAAAATTTTAAATAACCGGCCAAGTGCGAGTCAGACTCGCGCATAAAGGGTTCTGTACCATCGTAGTACACGTTTCTAGTAGAGGAGTTAGAGAGGCGTTATAAATATACTTAATAAAACTACTTTTAAGGATTCTATCGCGTTTAAATTAAATGAAGAGAGAATCCGTAAAAGTAGTTTTATTGAATAGTTAGTTGTTATTAGAAAGACGTTTCCGGCCATCTTCTGGTTTGTTCCCAATGTCGACACGCACGGAACAATATGATTGGATATTTTTGCACCCGCCACTACACCGTTAATGGAGCTCGTTAACATGTAAATCAATAAAACTGGAAAGTACGCTGAAATCCATTCTGATGAAATCTATAATAATAATAATAGAATTTATACGTGGTAGAGCCATGCTGCAGCTATATTAATAGTAAAGTTGTAGCACGAATGGGTCGGCTCGACCGGGGAAGGACCACGCTCTCACAGAATACCAGAGTAAGATAGCAGCTTAATGCTACTCTGTTTCGTATGGTAAGTGTAGAAAACCGGAGAACCTTTTTACTGGAAACGAGGCATTCCATCTTAGTCCTCATGGCTGACAACGCATCTCCATTTTGATTCGCAAACGAGGATAGATGTTGTAGATCTATGGGCCACAGCAAACACTTACCATCAGGTAGACTGTGCTCGTTTGTCACCCTCATTCTATTTAAAAAAAATATCCTTAGGGCTTCCTCACGAGTGTCTTACTAAAGTCTCCAGTTTTTTGCGCATGACTGCATAAAAAAACTCCATTCTTTTTTCTAAGCAAATTTAATTTGTATTTCTTATCTCACAGAAAGTGAAGATTGTTTGGTACGTGGTAGATCTGAGTTGTAGTTATATTATGGCTGCTGAACAAATAGGTCGCCTCGACCGGGGAAGGATCACGCTCTCACAGAATACCAGCGTTACATAGAAGATTAACGCTGCAGTGTGTCGTATGGTGAGTGTAGAGAACCGGAGACCCCTTTTACTGGAAACGAGGCATTCGATCTCAGTTCTCAGGGGTGACCACGCATCTGCATTATAATTCTTAATCGAGGATACGCACACGTTTGTTACATTTACTTTTTTTAACTTTAACCATTCAGAAGTAATGATAATTTACTCATTTTCATTTCAGATTCCAAATGCCGTATACGGTACCTATAGAAGGTGACTAGATATTGAAATAAAGAATAAAAAAGTTCTTGTTAGATAAATTGAAGCTACATGAAAAAATAAAGAAATATTATTTAAATACGTATATTAATTATAACGAAACATATATGTTAACAAAAAAAGCTTTTAGAAAAATTTACTTTGCAAATATCCGCGTTATAAAATAAAATGATGTGTCTTACCTAGTATGAAGAGCACCTCCCGCCCTCCCTCAATTGCGTGCACTATCCCCGTCACTACTAATCCCGGCACCGCTACTCCCAACACCAAGTGTTGGGAGTAGCGGTGCCGGGATTCATTTTAAAATTTTTCTAAAAGCTTTTATGGAATGGATTTCCGCAAAGTAACGCCTGATTCTATTAATTATATATGTTAACTGTAACTTTAACAGCTTTTCATATGCTTGAATGATTTTTATACTAGAGTAGCTTTTTTATGCTATTTTATATACATAATAAATAATTTAAAGAAATTATAATATACAAATATCGACTTCGTTTTGATTAAGTAGAATTGTTATTAGCTTGGAACTTGTCATTTACTCATTTAATATATTGACTTGAAAAATTAATATATTACAATAATAATACATATATATGAAATACATACCATATCATTTAAAATTTTGTACAACCGACTTCAATATAAATTATTAAGAATAACTCAAAAACTATTGGTCAGACCTTGATCAAATTTATATGGGACCACATGTGAAGTACCAGCTTTCAAATAAAAATAATCATCTTAGTCGGTTCACTCAGTTAAAAGTTATGATGTAACACACATTAAAAAAAACATACATTCGAATTGAGTACCGTCTCCTCTTTGAAATCGGTAGATAAAAGTATTTGACAACCATGACTTTACAAAATAAGCGAACAATTTAAGCCTTTATATACAAGCATAAAAGAAAAAATATATAAAAAAGAATGGAAAGTAAATTTTAAAAAAAAAACACCTACTAAATGGTTCAAGTATGATGTCTCGACCAACTCCCAATCATCATCTCCGGTAATGGAAGGTACCGTCTGACACGACGTTGCAACCTAATAGTGCAAAACTGAGCTTTATGGCCATTCTGATTGGAAGCATTTATATGCATGCGGCAAATAAAATAAAGGCAAGAATTATATTCTCAAAAAGTGACAAAAATGTCACAAAATGACAGTATACTTTAGTATACTGAAATAGTTTATTATAGGTATTAAATAGAAAGACAAAGACAGTAGTAAAAAAAATAAAGGGGTGGTTCTTTACCTTAATGGTAAAGCACTGACCATTTTTTACCTTAAATGTAAAGTCGACGCGTTCTATGTTGGCCGGAATGATGTTAGCTCTGCGAGACATTTGCGATCCGAATATAGTGGTCCGGCGGGGAGTCGATAGAGATATGCAACTTCAGGAATAGTTTGTCAAAAATATCACTTTGTAGAAAATAATAAAAAGTTGGTTATTCTCACCGGTTGTACGGTCCCAGTCTGTGGTTCCGGCTCGACCATCTCCCAACCATCTGGCGCCGCCGCGACTGCATTTGCTTGAGCTTCCTCCTCCGTTTCACCGACGCGCCCCACCAGGGCCGCGTACACCTCGATGTAACCACGTACACGTGACCTTGCACTGTATACATATAGAGTTAAATTAATATAACAAACAAATAATTTGTAAGTGCTTTATTAAGAATCGTCGTCGTTATTATATAATTAAAGAAACCACCATCGATTCGATCCCGATCGCATATTGAGTTACCTACGGGCTAGAGTCACCACGTACCAGCAGGTGGGCTACGTGTAGTTTCAAATCAAAGTCGTGTTAGGAAGCTGATGTATCAAAGCAATCAACCGCATCATAACTGGATTATTCCTCCCTTTGATTATAACTGTCAAGTTGCTATTAATGCTATTAATATTGTAAGCATTTCTGTTAATTATTTCAACTGAACTTGAAAAGTTAAATCTCTTATATAACGATATCTCTAGACGATGTTGAATATTTTAAAATAGCGGGAGCTATGAGCGTCTAAAACGAAGGTTTAAGAAAAGTGCCCAAACTATTGAAAATTTACGAACTTTAACCAGGCAATAAAATTTATTAAGAGTGTTTTAAATATGTGAGGATTTACAATAATAGGTGACCATCTCGAATAGCGCTGATTTTCCCTAGGACAATATTAGGACCACTACTCTATACTAAAACTAGATTATAATATAACACGTTTATGAATTAAAGTACTTCAAATCACACTTATTAATATAAATATATCAAACATTTATTTAGTAGTGCATTCAAGCTCACACATGAAACTCGAAGCGAATGGAAAGAAAGCGTCAAATACAATTCAAGTAAAACAGTCATAAGAAGTAAAATAATCATAATTTAAGTAAAACGGGATTTCAATCCAAAAGATCTAAAAAAAAAACAATAACAAAGACAATAATTTTATTAATTAAGGATTAATTTTTCATAAACCAACAACGGATAAAAGTTATCATGAAATAAATTATAACCTTATTGCAGAGATTCCCAAACTGGGTTCACTCCATGAAGCTAATACAAAGGGGAGACGGCATAAGCAACTGTGCACTGTGATTCTAAGTAGGTCCTGACGTCATCATAGTGGGCGTGGCTTTAGTTAGTATACTGTCAGCATTCGTCCTGTGCGCTTATGTGTTGACAAAATCGCAAATCGGTGTATTTTCGTAGTATTAAGAAGAAAAGGATGAAGTGTTGTGTTTTATTGTGTAAAAAGTACTCAGATAGACGCTCTGATGTTATGGAATGCATCACATTTCATTTGTAAATAATTTTATATATATTTATATAATTAAATATTTCAAATATAATTTTTAACAGTGGTAGAGCCACGCGGCAACTTTTGCTGCCGCACGGATGGGCCAGCTCGAACCGGGGTAGTACCACGACCTCACAGAAAACCAGCGTGAAGTAGAGGTTTACCTCTGCGTTTCACTTGCTTACCAAGTGAAACGCGTTTCACTTGGTAAGTGCAGGTGGCCGGAGGCCCTTTTTACTGGAAATGAGGCATTCCATCTTAGTCCCCACGGGTGACAACGCATCTACATTTTGATTTGTAACAGAGGATAGATGTAGATGTCTATGGGCCGCAGCAACCACTCACCATCAGGTGGACTGTGTGCTCGTTTGTCACCCTTATCCTATAAAAAAAAATATATTCCACACTAGATGGCAACACTTTGTGTCCTGTGAACTAAAAATATAAAGGTACGTAGAGCTCGGTAATGATAAAATAATCATACGAAGGTGCTGAAATTTGTTTTGCATTCAGACATAAAGAGATTTTAATCGCCAAAATATTATTTTTATAGTTTATAACATTTTGTGGACATGCCGACATCTACCGTCAAGGTAGCTAAGCTACATTGCAACATCGATATGGAAAGATTCGAGTAGTTTTTCTATTTATCGGTAGATGTAGATAGTGTAAAGTGGGCGGGGCTTTGCATCCCCTCACCCCGCAAATTGTCACGCGTTGTTACATAGTGAAATTTAATTACAACGTCTCCTCTTTGTATTTGCTTCATGGTTCACTCACACAAAATCACCAGGGTTCCGCAAATTATTCATTTTTGCTTGTTAAATATTTTCGTACATTTCATATATAATATGTGATGGAAAGAACCCATTCTGTTATGTAGGTAAGTGAGTTGTTAGCGATTATTATATTATAATATTTCAATTGCACTGTCTATGATATTAAATTATTTGATGTGGGGTTCCATGAAATAAAATTTATCTGCTGAGTGTTCCATTACCTTAAACGTTTGGGAATCACTGCCTTATTGAATATAAATGTAAAACAACTCGACTATTTTATTCATACGTCTGTAAATAATATGAAATAACTCCAAGCACATGCTACTACTACAATACAATATTTGCAAGATACGCTTTATCACTCAGCAATAGAGTCTATTTTGAATTTTCTTTCCATACGTACTTGTTTACTATTAGTTTAAACTCAGGCTTTTCGATGAGAAACGTTTTTATAGTACTCGATTCTACAAATATTGTACATTATATTTTATAACATTGTTTTTAAAAAGAAAGTAGACAACAAAGCTAAACAATTGCCACCGACTGAATACAAACATTCATAAAAGGATATTTAAAAATCCTTAACAACAAAAATACCTGTTTCATTTCGTGTTCTCATCGGACTTTCTGATGAAACACAGCACCAGCAAATATGAAGATATTTGGTAATGAGTAACTTAATACTTGGTCACTAGTCAAACGAAAATTAAATGATTAATTAAAAACTTTTTACATGGTTATGAATTATCGATATCCCTTTTAATCTACTTCTAAACTACCACTAACGTTCTATGACGGGATACAAAAAATCTGAAGATTTTTGCACAGGTCCATACGTGTACTCCCAAATAATGCCAGTTATTTTGTAATATACAGGGTTATTTTTCAAAGAATAGCCAAATTTTAAACCTAAATTCAAATATATAAATAATGATATACCGTTATTGCAGATAAAAAGGACAGAATGTTTAAGATTATTTTAATTAATTTTTCTTCACCATTTGTCATTATTACTTATTCTGAACCTTCTCTGCAAATTGGCCGGTTATTACAAAATAACGCTGTGTAACTGCTAGAACTTCATGGTTTAGAATCTCCAATTATAAACATTTAACAGTCATAGAAGCTATATACCTAGCTACGTAAAAAAATTGGGGGAAAAAAACAAACGCATCGCATGCTAAAGTCTCTACTTACACAGACCTGCGCGGACGTAGTGGGTACTTAGCGGGAGGTGGGCGGGGAACTGAGGGCCATTCTGTTGGGGCACCGGCCAATGGTATCTCCACCATACCGAGGAAGTCATCCCTCGTCAGTCTGTTCTCGTCGAAAACCTGTATTAAAATCTTATGCTCCTGGGGTTTCACCTGGAAAAATAATCATTGAATAGTTTTAAAATTATATTGATTTCAAATATTAAGTTTGTAATGTCATCACGCCGTGCTTTGCAGTTTTGACGATACTCTCCATCGCCTATCTGCCTTACATCTGATATTTATGAAATGGTTACCCTGCAATTAAATGAAGGCCATGCGACACTCACAGCGCAAATGGAAAAAGGATTTTATGTATGGATGAACATAGGAAAATAATTTAATGCGTTGAGAGGCTGAAACGGTGTTAACGTGATGCTGCAGCTATATTATGGTAGTACATAATATTAAAACTACACTTGCAACGGATATTCGACTATTATCCGATATTCGGCCTATTCGGCTACTTTTATCCTATTCGGTCGAATACCGAATATCTAGGTACTATTCAGCCGAATACCGAATACTTAAGTAAAAGATTTTATTGTAGTCAGATAATTGGTAAAATGAAAATATTTATTTATTTAATAAATATTGTTTTCTTGTAATCTTTAAAGTATAAAAGGTACATAATCAACGTCCAAATTATAAAAATTAAAAAAGAACTATCAGATAAATAGCTATGCACTCAAATTATCGTAATTAAAGTGGAACACAATGGTGCAGAAAAACTACTTTTTATTTACAGGCAGTAGTCTAATCGTTTTCTTCTCGTAGACAATCCCAGCTTCAGAGAATAGACGCTCTGAATAAACACTACTTCCTTCCCCGCCGAATACTTTTGCCTAATATTCGGCTATTCGGCTAGAAAGTCCGCAGAATATTAGATATTCTAATATTATTAATATATCTAATAATTAATATTAATATTCATAATATGCGTCGGAAGTCTAATTAATACTGATTAGCATATTATGCGCAAGTAACTATACAAAGATATGCCGCCATTTCAATATTATTATTTTATTTAATAAGAGGAAAGTACTACAGGCTGCGGTTATGACATAAAATTAAATTCATTCGGAAACCAACCGGAAACCCTTTTTACTGGAAAAGAGGCATTCTATCTTAGTCCTCACGGCTGACAACGCATCTGCATTTTGATTCGCAAACGAAGATAGATGTAGATGTCTATGGGCCACAGCAACCACTTACCATCAGGTGGACTGTGTGCTCGTTTGTCACCCTATTTCTATTTTTAAAAAAATCGTTTGATTTTTGCCACATCTAATACAACGCACTTGAAGTTAGTGAGCAATGCGTAGTAAAATGTCCGTTTGACAGTTCTATTCTTATTGTACAGTCCACAGCTGGACGTGCGCGTCTCCCGCTGTAGGGAGGGTTTGTTTTAGCGTGATGAGTGATGACGCTTGGCAGCGGATGACGAACGCAGTACCAAATGTCACTAATAACACTTGATATTTCAACATAAAGTAACCAGAATCAAACATCGAGATCATAACGGTCACAAGAAAACTTTAAAAATATTTTTACAACGGTAACAAACATAGACTAATCTGGGATATCTCAGGATTCATGAGCTCATCCTTTACACACCGTCGCGTATAAGAGGCGACAGAGGGAAATACATCAGGAGATGGGCAGCAACGTCTTCCTAATAACGACTAAAAATAAGAAACTGCAGTTGCCAACCCGCTTGCCAAGCGTGGCAACTATGGCAACCGGGTTGGCAACCGCAGTTTGCCCTGTGAGGCAATCTAAGCGGGTAGGCCTATGTTCAGCAGTGGACGTTCCAGTAACGGTACCTGTCTCAAACCTTTGACGCTACTTTCCGTTGCCGTGGCACGTGGGTATTTCACGTCTGATGTTATCGAGTTGGTTATAACTGCCATTTATCGGATGCTATATGATATTTATGGCATTTCCAATGGTCGCCTCTTACAGCACCTAAGGGACTAAATGGAGTGACGGCTCGTGTAGGTGCAGAGCACCTGGATGATCATTAATCAATGCAGCCTTTCAAAGTCCACTGATAAACTTAGGCCTTGCCATAGATTGCACCATAAGGGGTCACTTTTACATTATGTAATAAAACGTATTATGTAAAGAAGATACCAACCTTGAATAAAAACTCCTGATTCCATACTGGATTTAACGTCTGTAAACAAAGTTCAATTTTAAAGTTCAGGCACGATATAGGCAATTTTTAATATAACTTTATTAATTTAAACCTCTATTTACGCGTACGAAACTAACATAATTTAATTAATTTTACAGCATCATTAGTCTGCTATTTTACGCTGGTATTCTGTGAGAGCGTGGTCTACCCAGGTCGAAATTCGTATCTCTATAAAGTTAGCAGTGAAAAGTCAGCAGGTCAGTAATGGACCCAGCAATATTTACATTAAAAATTAATTTTCTCAAATCCGGTTGGAGCAACAAAATCACGATTTTGGCAACTAATTCAGCAACAAATTTTAAGGTTTCTGCTGACTTTTCACTGCTAGCTTTATAGAGCTACGATTTTCGACCTGGGAAGGGCCACGCTCTCACAGAATACCAGCGTAAAATAGCAGCTTAATGCTGCTGTGTTTCGTATGGTGAGTGTAGAGAAACGGACACCCTTTTTACTGGAAACGAGGCATTCCATTTTAATCCTCACTGGTTTTGTTTTGTACCTGATGGTAAATGACTACCGCCGCCCACGAACAACTACAACACCAGGGGAATCTCAGATGCGTTACCGGCCTTTTAAAAAGGAGTAGGCTCTTTTCTTGAAGGTCCGTAAGTCGTATCGGTCCGGAAAAATCACTGGTGGTAATCGATTCCACAAGTTGAGCGAGGAAGAAAACTTCTCCTAAATCGCACAGTGGTGGACCGCCAGTGGATTTGTCGCGGTGTGCGATGGTGAAATTGAGCGGCTGGAATTAGTCCGAACAATTCCTCAGAGCACTCCCCGTGATAGATAAAATACGCAAAGATATGCAACATCTCTACGCAGTGCCAGTGAGTCAAGCCGATCGGAAAGAACTCGGTCGTCAACGATTCGAACCGCTGGTGACTGGGTACAACGCATCTGCATTTTTATTCTTAATCGAGGATAGATGTAGATGTCTATGGGCCACAGCAAACACTTACCATCAGGTGGACTGTATGCTCCTTTGTCACCCCCATTCTATAAAAAAAAGTTCATTATAATTTTTTTATTGGCACAGAGTACGTCGGCATAATAATTAACATTTATCAAAATAATTTTTATAATTAATTTTATGTCGAATAATATGTATGTATAACTCGATATATTATACACAAAACAACATAAAAAGCTTTTACTGGCAATGGACCTCTTCTCCCTTCTGGTGTAGACAAAATTTAACCTAATTGCCACTGTTACGGCGCTGTCGTCGCGCCACAAGCGAAACAAACTGTAGCCTAAGTCACGCTATCGAAGTTACCGAAGTACTCTGGTATATTTAGAATAGCTCCGTACAACTAGACGGAGCGATAGAACCTCTCAGGGCTGAACAGCTTGCCCGGCGGGAGATCTGCCCTTTATTAACTTCCCTGTTTATAATTTAACTGTTTATAATTATATTGACCGGATTGACCCCATCCTTATTGAAGGAAGTGTTCAAGTCATCTCACAAAATCCAGATGAATTGTTTCATGGGCAATGACTGGTCGTCGTCATTGGACTCTAGAATTTCGTAATCATTTTGTGTCAATGTCTTTATCAATTTCACACATTATTTATTAATAGAGAAATACGTAACCTTTTTCTTGGTCTTCGTGAGGAAGGTCGCAACCGTGACGTCACCTTCGATTTTTTGTAGCTCAATACGGACGTAGGGATCACTGCCAAAAAAAACAAATATTTCATTAATATGCCACTTAATAAGGGTTTGCTATGAACTGGAGAGTGTTGCAAGCGGTTTTTATACGAGCATATTGTGGCCGGTCTTGTATGACTCGTATAAAAAATTTATACGTGAAAAAACCACACTGCACAAGTGGGTTTCCTCAACCGTGGAAAGAACACGTTCTCACAGAATACCAGCATAAACTAAGCTATGCTCCTATTGTTCGTATGGGGAGAGTAGAGAACCGGCGATGCATTTAACTGGAATCGAGACATCCCACTTCTCAGAGATGGCAAAGCATTATTTTTTTTTCATCGAACATATATTATGTAGATGACTATGGGTCACAGCATCTCACAACTTACCATCAGGTGGACTGTGCGCTCGTTTGTCATCCTTATCTATACAAATAAATAAAATTGGAGTGTCTGTTTGTTACGTCAAAATAACAGCTTTTCACTAAATGCATATGAAAGTAAAAAAAGTTTTGTACGTGGTACAGCCATGCTGCAGCTATATTAGTAGTATAGTTGTAGCACGAATGGGTCGGCTCGACCGGGGAAGGACCACGCTCTCACAGAATACCAGCGCCAAATAGCAGCTTAACACTGCTGTGTTTCGTATGGTGAGTGTAGAGAACCGGAGAAGCTTTTTACTGGAAACGAGGCATTCCATCTTAGTCCTCACGGGTGACAACGCATCTGCATTTTGATTCGCAAACGAGGATAAATGTCGTAGATCTATGGGCCACAGCAAAGTAGACTGTGTGCTCGTTTGTAACCCTCATTCTATTTAAAAAGAATATCCTTAGGGCTTCCTCACGAGTGTCTTACTAAAGTCTCCAGTTTCTTCCAGTTCAAACGAGGATAGATGTAGATGTCTATGGGCCTCAGCAACCACTTACCATCAGGTGGACTGTGTGCTCGTTTGTCACCCTATCCTATAAAAAAATATGGTACTTATAACAAAAACACAATTTTTAAAATTTTTTGTCTGTCTGTTTGTTCCGGCTAATCTCAGAAACTGCTGGACCGATTTTGATAGGTCTATCTCTGGCAGACAGCTGATGTTATAAGGAGTAACTTAGGCTACTTTTGTTTTAGTAAAAGAATTAGGGTTACGCGAAAAAAATTAAAAACCTATATTACACGCGGGCGAAGTCGCGGGGAACAGCTAGTTCTTTATAAAAAAAGAAACAACTACAATGGCTACAAATTTAGCAGACAATTTACGTGGAATATATATATATTATTTATATATTTATTATATATTTATTATTTATATGTAAGCTGGTTAAACTTTTTGGTAATTTACTATACATCAATTTTTTAAGTAAACCCCTTGTTTTTTTACTCTGATTAATCTATTCATTGGTAGAACACGTTTTCATGATTACGCAGCTTTTTTGTTTTACGTCTTTCTTTTTCGGTATTTCTTTATCCTCGTGTACCTCTAATATACTATTATATATATATATATATATATATATATATATATATATATATAAAGCGAAACCACTGTCATTATTTTTTCGTTCTTAAAATGGTTTTCTTGCCGGGATACTTTTTTTCAGACCAATGATTATTCTTATAGACTGTTTTTAAAAAAATTATAATATCCGTAGCATTACCCCAAATAGTAATGGCATACCGTATTATAGAATGAATATAGCCATAGCACATAGACATGAGCGTCTTTTTATCTAATAATGGCTTGAGTTTGAATAATGCATAATTACCGCTAGCTATTTTTTACAAGTTTTTTTCAATGTGGGCTTTATGGTTGATTGCGCTATCTACTGTATACCCTAAAAATACATTTTCTTTTGTAGTGGAGTTACCATAAATGCCTAGACTCGATTGATAATGCATTACAAAACTTTTATCAGTATTTAAAATAATACCATTTGCACTAAACCATTTTTTTTAGCAAGCCTATAACATTATTAATTTTATTTTCTAACTTTTTTATTTTTAGGGTTCCGTACCTCAAAATGAAAAAACGGAACCCTTATAGGATCACTTTGTTGTCCGTCTGTCTGTCTGTCTGTCTGTCCGTCTGTCTGTAAAGACCCTTTTTCTCAGGAACGCGTGGAGGTATCAAGCTGAAATTCATATCAAATACTCAAGTCTATTTATCCTTAGAGCTGTGAAAAAATCAAACTTCTAAGTCAACGTAATCAAAAGATACAGCCGTTTATGCCGTAAATTTTCGACATTCGCAAGGGAATCAAAACCTACAGGGTACTTCCCGTGAACTCAGAATCTTGAAATTTGGTACGAAGCAACGTTTTATAGCACAGATAAAAGAAAAATTGCGAAAAGCAAAAATTTTTAGTTACATCATATAATATAAATATTTTTAATAATTTTAAACTTATATACCTACAGATTTGTTCGGAACCCTCGGTGCGCGAGTCCGACTCGCACTTTGCCGGTTTTTTTATTTTATTTTATCTAACGTTACCCCCAACCTTGGATTTTCCCTGTATCGTGGAGGCAGTTTACAAACAAACATAAATTGCACAAGGACAAACATCCAGACCCGGAACAATTATTTGTAGACCATACAAATACTAAGCGGGATTCGAACCCGCAGCCCCAAACGCTGGAACTCATTGCTAAGACACTGCGCCACGGAGCCGTCTATTAAAAGTAAATTTGATAGACTTTTGTCTTTTAAACCAACATGTGTATCATCTTTTTTGCTTATTTGCAATTTTAAGTGTTGATTTACCACGTGCTCGGCGGTGAAGGAAAACATCGTGAGGAAACCTGCATGTCTAAGAAATAAGAAGTTCATCCGACATTTTCTTGCCCTAAAAAACCGTCTCAGAAATGAGAAGAAGCCTGTGCCCAGCAGTGGGACGTATATAGGCTGTGACTTTATAGGAAAACCACATCTTGTTCTATTTTCAATTAAATTGTGTAAAACAACTTTTATGCATCTTTAACTTTTTAATTTTACCATAAGATGACACAAATATTTAAACAATACAAAGGTATGGCAATTGGCAACAATAAAGGAGTGGAGACTCGCCGAGCATCTGGTTGGTGGTGGAAGGGAATTAGAAGAATTAAGTTCATTATACCGTCCATGTTTCTTTTAACATTAGAGTGGCAAATGAGCTAACAGTCCCAACTGACGGTAAGTAGGTAAGTAGTTGAAGTAGCCGCTGCAGGCTGTGGACACCTGCAATCAACTTTTAACAAAGAACGTTACAAACAACGTTACGTTCTTTTAACAAAGAAAGTTTTAATTTCAGTATTTAGTGTTGTTATAACTTAAAATATTTTAATTACAAAAGACAAGTATAGGTATGTAAGTAGGTACTTAGGTAGTGAAGTAAATTTCAACTAAGTTTTGTAATAAAGTACTTAGATATTACTTGTGTAGTTAAATTATAACTTAATTCTTTTTTCGCTATAAGTACCTATCATTGTCCTTTGGTGACTTAAAAAATTCTGATCTGAATCCTTTTGTTTGCTCATTAAGCATCCATCCTCGCAACAATTATAGTAGGAACGATATTTTGTCATTATAATTTATCAAATAGGTATAGTGGCATAGAAGCTGACAGTCCACGTAACACGTATAAGTGGCTACTGCAGCCCATGTTCACCTGCATTTAACTTCAAAGAAAGATCACAGATGCGTCCACCCATTGAACATTGGACAGTATAACTTGAATAAATAGAAAAATACGTATCACTGCTACCACAAAGCCTAAAGTGATGGTTACTGATGATTATGGTAAAAGACATTTAGATGAAACTTCTAAAAATTGTCTGCATTTATTCATCATTATCATCATCGATCAGTCAACAAAGTGTCACAAAGCACGGTCCTAAACCACCTGCATCCATCGACACCCTGAATGAATATCCTGATGAAACGGACTTCACTCAATCTAGTGGGGGATCGCGTACCTCCTTCGGACAAGCACTACGCTACGTCTAGCTACTTCAAAACCTTTCTTCCCCATCGGTTGTCGGTTCTACAAGCTATATAGCCGGCCCATTGCCACTTCGGTGCACTGATTCGATGGGCTATGTCAAATACTTTTTATATCCTCGTTACGGGTTTATGACGCAGAGAAAATCCGAGCATAGCCATTGCCTTCGCTCGCAGAGTGACTTTGAATATCCTTATAATGGGGTGACAGCGCAGATGCGTAGATGCCTATGGACCACAGCATCTGCTTACCATCAGGTGGACTGTGCGTTCGTTTGTCACCCATATACTAATATATATATATATATATATATATATATATATATATATATATATATATATATATATATATGTGTGTGTGTGTGTGTGTGTGTATATATATATATATATATATATAAGATATATCTCTTCAGTAAACATTTACGCAGTCAGGTTTTTTTTTAATTACTGTTTAACCTTGTTTAAGCTTGTTAAGGAAGTCTTTTTATACAATAAAGTGTAAATAAATATACAAATAAATACACACCTTATGTCTGAAGATAGCTTAAGTCATATAAAGTACGTAAAGCGATATAAATATATGTTCAAGGTTAAATGACTGATAAACGATCGAGTTCTTTAGTGAACAAGAACTGTTTTGTACGATAAGTGGACATTCCCGATTAACAATATTTACTTACTCTAGTAACACACAGATACGTAAACACGTTATAATGAATAATGTCCTCCAGACCGAATTTCGATCACGACGACCAGCCTCAACGGAGACTAACCATCTCCGCAGGACAGGATTATTGCGGACGAATGTGAGCGCAAGCACAGGTACACTCTCTATTCCCTTACTATCACAGTCCGATGGGACGGCAAGCTGACACGACAGCAGAAAAATCACGCACAGAAACAACGGCTTTAGGTGCTTTGTGAGGCACGGTGATGAAACACCGCCAACTTCTTAACTGCAGGTTGCTATTGAGAATTTCTTGACAGAAGGACCCAGTAACTAATTTTTGGCCCGACCCGGGATTCGAACCTGTGACCTCA